ACTAACACACATTTACTTCACAACTTTTCAATTTGTAAGTCATGTAAAACTTTATTTTTAATTATTATTTCTAACATCCTCCCTTAATTAAAAATTCTCAAAAATTCTCCTGCACTCCAAGTCTTTCTCTCAATCTTCTAAAGTCTTCAAACTTAAGTGGTTTGGTAAAAATATTAGCAACTTGATTTTGAGTCTTTACAAAAATCACCTCCACTTCTTTCTTAACAATGCATTCTCTAATGAAATGATATCTCGTATCTATATGCTTACTTCGCTCATGAAACACTGGATTTTTGGCTAGCTCTTGTGTGGATTTATTATCAATGTGAATTTTAGTACTCTCCTTCTGTTTCAAACAAATTTCCTTCAATAATCTTCTAAGCCAAATAACATGACAGACACAAGAGGTTGCAGCAACATACTCAGCCTCACAAGTAGAAAGTGTGACAATAGGTTGCTTTTTAGAATTCTAAGAAAAAGCACAATCACCCATGAACAACACAAATCCAATAGTACTCTTTCTATCATCAACATCACCCGTAAAATCACTATCATAGAATCCCACAAGCTTGAAGTCATTACAAAGAGAATAAAATAACCAAAAATCAATTGTACCTTTCAAATAACGAAGAATTCTCTTTGCAGCTTTTAAGTGAGTAGAGGTGGGAGCTTCCATGAAACAATTCACAACTTCAACTGCATACAAAATATCAAGCCTTGTACTTGTTAAGTACCTTAAGCTTCCCACTAGGCTCTTGAAGATCGTGGGGTCTATCTTTTCTCCATCATCAAACTTTGACAATTTTAATCCAGCTTCCATGGGTGTACTCACAGGATTGCAATCAAACATCTTAAACTTTTCCAAAATTTCTTTTGCGTACCTCTCTTGTGAGACAAAAATACCATTCTCCATTTGCTTTCCCTCTAATCCCAAGTAATAGGACATAAGCCCCACATCTATCATCTCAAATTGATAAGACATAACTTTCTTGAAATCTTCAAATAAAAATGGATTATTGCCAATAAAGATAAGATCATCCACATAAAGGCAAACAAACAAAACATCACCATTATCAAAAGTTTTAACATAGAGGGCATACTCATGTTGACAACTGATAAATCCATTGTCTTGAAAGTATTTATCAAGGTGACTATTCCCTGCCCTCGGTGCTTGTTTTAATCCATATAACGCCTTCTTCAGCTTCAAGACCTTTTCTTTTTGTCCCTTGACTATAAAGCCCATTGGTTGTTCAACAAAAACATTTTCTTCGAGATAACCATTCAAAAAGGCTAATTTGACATTAAGTTGGAAAATTTTCCATTTCAATTGAGCTGTCAAGGACATAAGAAGACGAATTGTCTCCATGCGAGTAACTGGTGCAAACACTTCATCATAATCAACTCCATGTTGTTGCCTATAGCCTTTAGCAACGAGCCTTGCTTTGTATCTTTCTACCTCTCCATTGACATTCTTTTTAATCTTGAACACTTATTTTACTCCAATTGCTTCATGATTCTTGGGAAGATTTGATAGTTCCCAAGTGTCATTTTTTTCAATGACTTTAATTTTTTCCTCCATGACTTTTCTCCACCTTTGGTTCTTCATAGCTTCATCAAAATTCATTGGTTCACTATCAACAAATAATAAACAAAATAAATCATTTATCATTTCAGTTTCATCATTTATTTCTTAGAGACTTCTCATTTTTCTTGGCCTTTCACTTGAACTTTCTTCAGAAAATGATGAGATTTCATAAGTTGGTGAAAGAGATGGAGTAGAAAACTCATTCGGTGGTTGGGCTCTTTCTTGATCTCCTTCTTCAAAGTATGGGAAAAAATCATAAGTGTTGTTTACTTCCTTCTCCCAGTTCCAAACTTTTTCTTCATCAAATTCAACGTCTCGACTCACAATTATTTTGCCAGTGCTTGGGTTGTACAGCTTGTAGCCTTTTGAGTTTGCATCATAGCCAATGAACACATACTTCATACTCCAATCATCAAGCTTCGATCTTCCTTGGTCTGGTACATGAGCATATGCAATGCTCCCAAAGACTCAAATATGGTCAACTTTTGTCTTCACTCCACTCCATGCTTCTTGCAGTGTTTGATCTTTGACATTTCTTGTAGGAGAGTGATTAGACAAATAAACTGCACAAGTAACAGCTTCAGCCCAAAATTCCTTGGGCATATTTTTAGCTTTTAACATAGATCTTGCCATATTCAAAACAGTTCTATTTTTTCTCTTTACTACCCCATTTTGTTGGGGAGTTCTAGGAACTGTTAGAAGGCGACGAATCCCATATTTTTCACAAAATTCATTAAATTCCTTTTATGTGAATTCGCCACCTCTATCGGATCGTAGAGCTTTGATTTCATAACCACTTTCTTTTTCTACAAGTGCTTTAAAATTTTTAAAAGCTACAAATGCCTCAGATTTTTTCTTTAAAATATAAACCCAAGTCTTTCTGCTAAAATCATCAATAAAGAGCAAAAAATATATATTTTTACCAAACGAGGCAGGATCAATTGGACCACATACATCGGTGTGAACAAGTTGGAGAGGCTTTTTTGCTCTTGATTCGGCTTCTTTAGGAAAACTCCTCCTTGCATGCTTGCCAATGGGACATACTTCGCACAATTGATTGGGATGGTTGATGGAAGGCATCCCTCTCACCATGTTCTCATCTCCTAGAGCCTTGAGTGCACCAAAGTTTAAGTGCCCAAATCTCTTATGCCAACACCATGATTCATTTTTGTGCTAGTCTTCAAACATTTAGCTTCAATGGTCTCAATGTTTAAAATAAACATTCTGTTTCTTGACATAAACACCTTGGCAATCAAGTAAGAATTTTGATCTCTAAGCCACAAACAACAATATTTCATAAGGATTTCATATCCTCTCTCAACAAGTTGTCCCAAACTTAAAATATTACCTTTTAGTTTAGGAACATAATAAACATCCATAATCAATTTGTGAGTACCATCTTTTAAAGAAATTAAAATGGTACTTTTTATTGGATTTGTGTAACGCCCCGAGTTTTGTATTATTAATTAATCGTGTGTATATATATATATATATATATTGATATTTTTATTTTGTGGTGTGTTGATTGATTTGATGGTGATATGGATGTAAGGATGTGCTTTAGCTTAATGGGAATGTGTGTGTAAATACAGATATATGTAAATGTATTTATATATGTGTGTGTGTGATTGGAATTTGGATTGAAGAAAATAGGTTAAGTTCTAATGCAGGGCATTCTTGCTGTAGCGAGATAATTCTCGCTGTAGCGAGAGGTCCCTGGGAGGAAGGCATGCGACTGTCGCCTTCTCACTGTAGCGAGAGACGTCTCGCTGTAGCAATAGAGCGACAGTTTAGGGTGCATTTCTGGGTGCAGTCTCGCTGTAGCGAGATTCTGCAGAAACTAGAGTACAGTTTTCTCTGGTTTTTTCGCTGTAGCGAGAGTGTCGCGACCAGAGGGGTATTTGAAGGGGGTTAGGGCTCGAAGAGTGGGGAATTTTCATGATTTTTCCCTTCCTTCTTCCACGATTCTCTCCATCCAGCCTATTCCGACCGTTTAGGACCCCTCCAAGACCGATTAGAAGCTAGATTGAGGATTGGGAAAGTGTTTGGAGCTCTTGGAGGTAAGTTCTATGGTTAGGGTTTTGGTTTTCGTCCCTCTCCTTCATTTTCTGAGGTTTCCCCTAAGTTTCCTTGGGATTTCTATGTGCTTTAGGGACGAAATCCGTGTGGGGAGGTGGTTCCATCAACATTTCGTGTCGGGTCTTCGTTTTTGAGGTAAAGGGAGGACTTTGCTCTAGTTATTCTTATAAATTAGTTTATTTGATTGAGTATGGTAATATATTAGAAGTAGAGAGTAGAAAATGTATATATTGATGATTTGAACGCACTGGACTGAGTCTGGAGGTGCCCGACCTCAGGCATGTTGTATGTTTTGTGTGGAATGGCATGGTAGAAGTGCGAATGGGTAGATTGTGGTGTAGAAAGATTGAATGCTAGGTGGATTTTATTGGAATCTTGTGTGAAATGAAATGTGTGTGATTGTAAGTATGACGATTGTGATGAAATGGTTGTAATATGAAGGAAATTGTGTCGACATGCCCTTGATTGCAATTTGAATAATGTAAATGGTTGAAAATGAGTGTGGATGGCATATTGAATGAATAATGATGTGTTTGGGTGTTGGAACTATGAATGGTTCAGAGATACACTAGGGGTGTGGAAGATAGGGGCGGTAGTAATACCTTGGGGAAGAGAGGGTGGTGGTGACACCAACAGTGAGCGTGGGTGCACCACAGGCCACACACTCTCCTCCTGACTCGGCCTCTGACTAACACCTTTGCCTGGGGGGCTCAATACTGCACATGTTATATTCGTGGAGCGGGAGCTATTCGGCTGACCATCCATAGCATAACTGAGTAAGTCCCTGAGGTTGAGGGCATCAGAAATCTGTGATCACAGTGCCACCGTGAGCGTGGCTACGTGCAATGAGCGCACCTGCCTATGATTGTTGTTGCGTGCCTTGAGTGAGATAGTTCAGGTGAGTCTTATGCTTGTTTGTGTGCTTATGCTAGAGTAGAAGACTCACCCTTATGCTTATTTTTCAGGTAACCAAGACAATCAGCACCGGGCCCCCTAAAGGAAGGATGGATGACACTGTTATAGGACTTAGAAGTTTATTTTGGAAGTTTTAATGTATATTTGAGTCCCGTAGCAAGCTATGAAACAAACTTGTAATCACTTCCTTTTTATAAACCACTTTATAAAATTGAGTTTTTGAACTACTGTTTGAATGAAAACCTCCATTTTGCTAACATTTTTACGAAATTCATTTTATTTAGAAATTATAATTATAAGGTGCTACAATTTGCACCTTGGAAGAATCGCCAAAGGAAACATTGCCTTTCACCTTCTCATCTAGCTCCATAAACTTTTCCCTATAACCACACATGTGATTACTTGCTCCATTGTCAAGATATCATAAGCATTTGTCACGCTTCTCTTCATTGTTAAGTGCTAGCAACAATATTGGCTCGTCATCTTCTTCTTTCTCTTCAATAAGGTTGGCCTTCTCTTCAACATTTGTTCTACACTCCCAAGAGTAATGACCATATTTGTGACAATTGAAACATTCAACTTTAGATTTATCATACCTCCTTTCATATGTCCTACCAAAATTGCCTCTGCCTCTTCCTTTTCCTTTTCCACGACCTCTAGTAGGTTGATAATCATCCCTATTGTCAAAATTATCATGATCTCCTCTTCTTCCTCTTCCTTGGCCATGACCATGTCCCCTTCCACGTCCTCGTTGATTTTTTTCTCCTCCATTTTCTTTCAAAGAGACTTTGGTTTTAAGTGCTTGCTCCAAAGGCTCTTCTTGTCTTCGATTAAATCTCTCCATCAATTGGTCAACAGACATTGAGTCTAAATCTGTTGACACTTTAATAGCACAAACCACATAATCAAACTTTGTGGTTAAGGAGCAAAGTATTTTTTTCTACTACGCGAACATCTTCCACCTTTTCTCCATATCACTTCATTTGGTTTATAATAACCATTACTCTATTACCAAAATCTGAAATAGGTTTAGCTTCCTTCATACGCAAGGATTCAAACTCCCCTCGTATAGTTTGTAAACGCACCTTTTTGACCTTGTCAACCCCTTTAAGGTTCGTTTTTGTGGTTGCATTAGACACTACCTCAAACATGGCTTCATCTAAGCCTTGATGAATAAATGCAAGTGCTTGTTGATCTTTCTTCTTTTGCTTTGTCAAAGCATCTTTCTTATTTTGTGACAAAATAGCCTTATCTTGAGGCTTATAATAACCTTTCTCTACAATCTCCCAAGCATCTTGAGACCCTAGTAAGGCTTTCATGCGTCGACACCAGCTATCATAATTTTCTCGAGTAAGACGTGGAAATTGAAACATATTTAGGCCATTGTTTGTCATCTCTCCACTTTCAAAGTGTTTCACTCAACTCTTGAAGTGTTTCTCTCAACTCTCAAGATCGAACCGAGCTTTTGATACCACTTTGTTAGAGGTAAAAAGAGAAGAATTATTATAATAGGAGGATTTTATTATTTTGTCACACAAATACATGAGTATAATTCACTATTTATAATAGTGATATTACAACCTTTAAGTTACATTGAAGAATAATTACTCCTTAAATATCAAATGGTTACAAAAAAAAAATTATTACTCTTAACCAAGGAATTATGGTCATTAACTCACACTAACACACATTCACTTCACAACTTTTCAATTTGTAACTAATATAAAACTCTATTTTTAATTATTATTTCTAACAATTTGTACGTGTGTAAAATGGATCACTTTGCAAACACCTTATTTGTTGGCCCCCTCAACATGACATTTGGTGGACAAAATAACAGCCTCCTTTCCAAGTTTTCCTTACAGCCAGGGCTCTGAATAAACTATCTTCTAGTAAAATAATAATGTGACAAACCACATCAACATCACGGAGGGACTTAAGATATGTGTAAGAAATACAGATATAAAACAAAATGCAAGGAGACAACAAAAAAATAAGTCATATTTCACTCCTAATGTAAAATACAAAATAATTAGCATTGGTTAAAAAATCAATTCAGTATATTTTAATAATTTCATAATTTATCATATATGAAATATATTTGATTATAAGCTTAATTAAGTTCAAACATTCCAAATCGATGTCCTTTAACTGCATGCAAATACTGCCCCTGCATCAAGAGAAGCCTGCTTCTCTAGATTTTTGAAAAAGAAGAAGCATGCCAATGCTCAATTGAATGAAACCAGACTAAACCTAAAATTACTTTCGGCTCCAAGAAAAGGAAAACCCATTCAAGAATTCAATTTTCCTCTCCCAAGAAATTTAAATGTACATACAGCGTCTTTATTTTATTACCATATATACACGGAATTAACATAACATAACAATGCATGCAAGCAAAAACACACAGAAGCTAACAGATAAATGTGGTATAATATAAATAAGAATATGATGAGCGAAGACTGTTAATGAATGTGCGTATTTTATATTATAACAACAAAAAGTGGTAACTTATACCTTCCGATAAAAAGTTACATCAATGAGTGTGTTTTTTATATTATAACAACAAAGAGTGAACGTATAGAGTAATAAAAAAGAAAATGGGGAGTGAAGTTGCTTAATGCCAAGCAGATGCGAATGTGAGAGCTTTTCCCTTCCATGCAAAGAAAACGGCACCGTTATCCAACTTGACAGAGAATCCCTCGGGAGGAGCGAGTTGGTAACAAATTGACTCAGTGGAGGTTTTCAACTCGTACCCAGCCATGCTCATGCGTGCGCGCCATTTTCCAAACACCTCACACCGTTCCACGCGATTCCTTCCTTCGCAAGCAATCGTGTTGTTTATCTTTCGACTCAGTCCCGTTTCAATCTTCACTCGCACTGTGTCTGTGAACACGTAAGACTCAATTGACTCAAAAAGCGCGGCATAATAAGAACACGACTCAGCCACGCGAGTTGTAAACGGCGCCGTATTAGCGTTCATCTCTTGCTCCGCCAAAGTCACCACGCATGGCGCGAGTGCCTTCACGCGCCGGAGAAGCTCGTCGCGCGGATTCCCCACCAAAACGCTCTCGTCGGGGACTTTAGAAAGCGTGAAAACGAAGTTAACCGCAAGCCTTTCGTCTGCGTCGCAACCCAGCGAGTCGCGAGTCAACTCAGCGATTCCACTGGTGAGTGTCACCACGTTGAATAGAAGAACAATCCCGAGTGCGAGTGCTAGTTGTCTGAGCAATGGGCCAACCATGGTCTGTTCAAAATAATAATTAAAACATAAATCAGGTGAGATAAGAACAACAATTCTTGAATTAAGAGTTACACTCTTTTCATGCAGGGACATAAATAGACCAATTATTTACTTAATTAAATTTGTACCTCTAACATGTTGAAACTCCTCTCAGCGAAGACGACGGCGGTGATCTTGACGACGGCGATCATCCCATTGACGTTTACAGACAATAATTGGAGCAGTTGAACGTATTGCATGCCATTGCCAATATTGAAATCCACGACAGATAAATTGACTTTCTGGTTTTGAATGTCAAAAGCAGATTGGAGGATTGTGATATTTGCAGCCGTGACAGCTGCATTGAAACAGAAGCAGTGATGGAGCAGCAAACGAGTTGACTCGGCGTGTTCAACAGAGAACAGTTGTTGGGGCAGATGTGGGGGAAGTTGCATTCGAGATTTGAGGGCAGAAATCATGGAAGCCGTGAAGCGTTGATCTGAATTGGTGATATTCTTCCCATTCCAATTGAGGTTTGAAAATGATCTCAGCGCCAAGATTTGTAAGAACTTGGACGCAGCATCCAAATTCCCTTGTGAAATCGCGGATGCGGCCTCCATCAACCATTGCTTCGATGATGTCAATGGTTTCTGGTTCTGTGTGGGAGTTGGAGTTTGAGTGGGACCCATCAGCCTCTCCATTGTCCGATACACTTCTGAGTTTGTAATCGTCGAAGCCGCGTCCCTTTCTTCGTCATCTCTTTCTCCTAGAAGCTGGTTTTCCATCTCCATTAAGCGTTGATGCATCATCATCGTCTTGTTATCGTTTGAAACCCAAGAACAAGAATACCCAAGTCCTGTCCCTGTCAACTCCTCGTCGTTGTTAACGTTGTTGTTGTTGTTGTGGGTTTCTATTTGAGCGAACCTGCGTTTCTGGGTTAGAGTTTGTCGTTCTTGTTCTTGTTCTTGTTCTTGGTGTTGCACTTGAGTTCTGTACTTGGGGTTTGTGTTGGGTGCATGAGGAACTGCAGCGGTCAAACCGGCGTCCATGTCTTTGCGGTGTCTAAATAGATTTTCTTGAACAAGATTGAGGGGCTTGTTCAGAATTCAGATCACAAAGCTTTTGTCACAGATTAGATGGGAAATGCAGTGACTCTTTTATAGCTAGCGTTTGTTATGATCTTTCTCCCAGATTCGAATATGTAGATATTGTCGGTTATTAGTTAATATCAGATTTATTAAATTATATTACATAAAATAATACTATATTTAAATATGATCAAAATATATTTTATTTCAATAGTAAAAAGTAGTTAATATATTATAAGTAAAAAAAAGTTGATATATTTATATTATTAATTAATTTTTATTAGAAGATAAGAAAATAACTAAATTTATATTAATAATTATTATTATTATATTTATATCAAATAACTATTAATTTTCTCTTATAAATTTTTTATATATTTATGTAGTAAATTATCTGTTATATAAATAAATAAATAACTATAGTTAAAATTATCAACAAAATATTTATTATTATGTCATACATTAAATTTATCTTATTTGTAATATTAAAAAATCATAAATTATTTAACAAATAGTTGTTATATTTTTATTTTTAACATAAATTCTTTTTTTATTTTATGATAGATTTTTTTGTGCTTTTCTTCTCAAAATCAAATTCGTCAATGCTGCTTCAGTTTTAATATAAAAATCTATTATATTTTTAATTGTTTAAATTAAGATTTACACACTCTCTTTTTTTAACTTGAATTCAAATCATTTTTGTTTTATGAAAGAGTATAACTATGTCAGAAATATAAAAATGACATTATTTTTAATTATTTGAATTAAGATTTATAGGATATTTTAACTATTTGTAAAAATGATGTTATTTTAATTTTTGCTATACTTAATAAACCATATATTATTTTAAAATAGTGTAAATATAATACAAATGTAAAACAACTTGATATATTAAAGTTTTAAACCACATGCACATTACATTTGTCAATCAAAAATCAAATCAATTTTAGAATATACAAATATTTATCTCAAAGTAACATAACAATTAAAAATTAATATGATATAAATATTTATTTGATAAAATTATCATAATATAGATAAAATATATACTTTAAAAAGTTAATGACAAAAATTATTAATTTTTTTATTTTAATCAAAATATTATTTATTATATTTTATGTGTTGAATTAAGTTAATAAAAAGTGTTAAATATAGTAAATTTTATTATAAATTATAATTTCCTATGTGTAAAATTTTATTTAGTTTAATTTAATTTTAAATACAAAAATAAAAATTTAACTGAATCACATAAAAAATATGATTAACAACATGTTATTATATTAAAATAATTTAGATCTATTTTTTAATATTATTAATTAAATAAATTTAATTTTATAAAAAAATTGACATACTCATTTATTAAATTTTATTATTTTACTTTTTCAATTAAAAGATTTTTTATTTTCAATAATATTATTGTATATTTTAAATTATAAATTTTTATTTATAAAAATCTCTTCTATATAAAATAAGATATTAAAAAATCTATTATAAAAATTTACCTTATTCGTACAAACGAATGCATATATATATATATATATATATATATATATATATATAACAAAAAAAATATTTACATTAATATAAATATTTATTTGATAAAGGTATCATAATATATATTTACATTAGTTACTTTATGTGATATTAATAGAGCTGTCAAAATGGGTTAAAGCCCTAAGCCCTACCCTGTTAATTCCTTATATAGTCCTGTTTTTTTTTTTAAACCCTATAATTAGTAGGTTTACATTGGCTCGAAGCCCCAAAATAAAGAAAATAGTGAATTAGGGCCAGAGTTAGGTTAGCCCACTTATTTTACAAAGTAAGTAATAATTATTATATTATTTTTTTATAATATTTATTAAATTATTTTATTTAAATGAATTAAAAATTATATTTAAAATATAAAAATAAATTTTTTATTCAATATATTAAAATTTTATCATAAAAATAATATCAAATATAATTATATTATAAAATTAAATTAAATTTAGCTTTTGTATTTTGTTAATTTTATTAATTAAATTTTTAATATAGTACGTTAATAATTTATGAGTTTAATTAAGAATTAATGTAACATCTTAAATAAAATTTTCAAGTAATAATTTTGCAAAATGAGAGTAATAAAATTTTTATTTAACGAAAAATCTCATCATAGAGTTTCATAAAACAGTTTAAAACAATAAAGGATTATAATTTATATCAAAGACTACGACAAGACTAATTCAGTTACATCATAATTTCAAAATATAATTTAAGTACTATAACAGTTCATTCTTCTTTCACTGAGTTTATCCTTCCTTCACTGAGTCTGGTGCTGATCGTCTTAGTCACCTGAAAAATAAATGTAAGGGTGAGTACTTTACACTACCCAACACAAAAAAAATAGAGACTCACCTTAAATACTACTCGTTTACTAACATATTTTAAATCATGTATTCACAAGACAAGCATCTCAATTTTAGTCACAATCATCATTCATCATCTATTCCAATTCAAAATAGAACCGATGCACTCACTGCACCAACATTTCACACACGTGTGTTTACCGCACCTAGCTACGCTTACTGTGGCACTGTGATCACAGTTTCACATCATGAATGGTCGCCGGTTATCCCGCCTCACGGATATCGTGTGGGTAGTCACGGGTCACTCAGTAAAGGTAGTGGTCAGAGGTCTAGTCAGGAGGACGGTGTCTGGCCTGTGGTGCACCCACGCTCACTGTTGATGTTACCACCATTCTCTCTTCCCTAAAGTATTTCTACCGTCTCCATCTTTCACACCTTCAGTGTATCGCTGAACCATTCATAGCATCATTACAACGGCATTTACATGCCTCATTCACACAATATCCATAATCATTAACATTACATGGCACATAGGCCCATAGTCATTTGCACACACGGCACAAGTGCCCACATTCATTCGCAGTATATGGCCCGCTGACCCACATTTGTTTACCACACATGACACATATGCTCATTCCATGCACACAACATTTCAACATGTCATCCATATTCAATTATCAATTCTTCATAAAAGTTCACTAAAAATCAACTTTCAAATCATCACAATCATATGCACCACACATTATCTATTAGAATACATCAGTCCACACATCCTATCTCAATCACATTATAAAACATAGTAAATAAACAGGTTTTCAAGCAAAATGAGATAGGGTAGAGTCCCCTCTTATCTCAAATGAAGACCACACACAAAATTGGCAATGAGAAGGCTCCCCACATGAACTTAGTCCTAAATACACGAAAACTTCTCGTGAGAACCAAGGAAAACTAAGAAATAAGAGAATGGGGATGAAAAATCAAAACCCTAACCATTAAAACTTACCTCTAAGCATTCCCCACACAAATTCAACCTTCAATCTTGCTCCTAAATGGCTTGGAGGCAATTTAATCGATGAAATAAGGTTTTGGGTCGAGAGAATCGAAGGGACCTTGAAGAGAGAAAAGGGAAAACTGAGTTTCCCAAGCCCTAGGTCCTTTAAATCTTCTCTGGTCGCGACACTCTCGCTACAGCGAGATCCTCGTTGCAGCGACACCCTCTCTTGCTACAGCGAAAATCTCAGAGAGAATTGCATTCTGGTTTCTGCAGAATTTTGTTACAGCGAGGTCCTCTCACTATAGCGAGACTGCACCTAGAAATACATCCCAAACTGTTGCTCTCTCGTTGCAGCGAGAAGCCTCTTGGTACAGCGACAAGGCAACAGTTTCACGCCTGCACCTGACACTTAGCCGAATTTTCCAATTCAATTCCAATCACCCACATCATCGCACATATATACATGTACATCAAATACACAAATACATGAAAAACACATATACACTTATATTAACATATTAAAATATGATTACTAAAATCTGGGGCGTTACAATTAATATTAAATATTTTTAACTAAACAATAATTAAATGATAAAATAATATTTTATAAAATACTATTTTATAATTATTTTAATAAATTTAATCAATTCAAGTATGTTTATATATATTTTTTAATGATTTTTAATAATTATAGATTCATTATAACTTAGATTTATACATGTTATGGTTATTTTTAATATAAATATATAAAATCCTAAATGATTAATTTTAATATATTTTATATAGATATATATATAGATATAGATAGATTTTTTATTATTAAAAAAATATAGTTGTTAATATACACTTGAAATTTAATAATTAGTAAATATTTATGTAAATCAACGTATAAATAAAAAATTAAATTGTTAGTTAATTTATATGTAATATATAAATATGTATTTTAATTTATCATATACATACTATGTTTTATATTAAATTAATGTTATGGTGTAGTTAATTTTATGTATATTTATGAATTTAAAATACTAAATTAATGAATAAAATAAAATTAAATATTATATATATATATAGCATTTAGTTTGAAATTTTGTATTAAGTTTTATCAAAATTTTTCTATTAAGATAAAAATTTAGAAACACAAGTTATTTTTCTGCATCTATAAATTTTATGATGTAAAATATTTTATATCTACAATTTATACAATAAAAATATTTTTTTTAAATATATTAACTTTTATTCAGTATATTTAACAAATTTTTTCAGTGTTATTTTTTATTATTAATTTTATATATTTACTATGACTTTATTTTTTAAATATAAGATATTCTTACACAAATATAATATGATCCTTATAATATATATTTTTTATAAAAATAAATTAAGAAAAATAATAATATAAAACTTTTATAATATGAAAAAATTTATAATTAATACTCAAATAATATTTTAAAATTTATTTATAAAATTATATAAAAAATTGTTATAATTATTTAATAATTGTCAATAATACAGATAAAAATTATATAAAAATTGTTAAAATTATATAATAATTATTATTTTTATTAATTTTATTTAATAAAAATAATTATTATAAATATTTATTATTATATAAATTTTATTTTTTTTAAAGTAATTTTATTGGACTACAAGTTTATAATAAAAAGTTATATGAAATAAATATTTTTATTAGATATTCTAATAATTATCACAATTTATATCAAATTTTCTTAAATTTAATTTTTTAAATTTAATATTCTAAATATTATCACAATTTGTATAAAAAATAATAAGATTTATCTTATAAATTAGTATAAATAAGCCATTGTTAAATTAAAACTCTCATGAGACATTAATATTGGCTAAATTTGAATAATTTCTAGATAAGTCATTATATAAAAAATTAATATAAAATTTGAAAATTTCTTCATAAATTAAAAATAATTTGTATTTTTAAAGTTTTTGAGAAGATAAACGAGATAACTTCTAACAAAGCAAAAAAACATAAGTTAATGATGTCTTGAATATATGTGATTCTTGTGTCTTAAGTTTCACTATTATTTTTTTAATGAGTTGTAATGAAAAATTATGAATATTTATAGTGAGTTATGAATTATTGTATACATAATTTTAAAATTTGATAAAATATTTTTTTTATAATGTAGCTTATATACAATATTTATATATCACACTAACTGAAATATCTCAAATTGATATATGAACTACATTACCATTGTTAGCCAGCATCATCACCTTATAATTTTTGTTCCCACTACTATTAATTATTGTCATTTTAGCCGTCCACCATTACTATTATTGCACTATTCTCACTATTGCTATCACTCTCACCATTATTAATGTCAAAGCCACCACTCAATGTTGATTGTTACCACTCCTATTATCTTAACCATCTATTATTATTACTAGTCATTTTATCATTAACAAATAATTTAAATATATAACGAGTAATTTATATGTAATTGATTTAAAATTTGATTTCAAAGTTTGAAAACCAAAGCAATAAAATTGAAAAGTAGTTCTAGTTTTTGAAACTTTTTAAACTTGTAACCTTTACCAAACTACAGAATGCATAACTAAATGAATGAGTTTTTTATTCTTGAAAAACTATCAATTTTTTTTTCATTTGGTTCTTCAATTTTAATATTTTCAAACTATTCCCTCATTAAATGTTTTTCGTTACAAAATGGTTCCTTCCATTTATTTTTTCTATTTAATCCTTTTAAATATCTTTATTTATTTTTTTATTTAGTTATGTGTTGTAGGGGGACCAAAAGGGAATTCAAGCTGTTTATAAGGACCAAATAGAAAATTTATTATATTTAAATGGATCAAAAAGAATTATGAAAATTATAAGGGGACCGTTTGGTTATATATATATATATATATATATTTGAAAAAATTACAAATAAGAGACCAAATTAAAAAATTGTAATATTTTTAGGAATTTGAAGTTTAGTGATTTTGAAGCTTATTATAAGAACTTTAGGAAAATTGTACTAGAAAAATTAGCGGAAAGGTCATGCCTCAAAATCTTTCACTAGAATCAAATGTTTGAAAGTGGGACTCAAGAACCTTAGATCTTAATACTACCTAGATTTAATACTAAGTAGAAATTAGTGTACTTTTGATTTAATACATTAATTTAAAAAAAATATTTTTTAGCTAATAATTTTGAATTAAAGATTAGATTTCTTATTTCCGGATAATTTTATTAGTTATTATTTCCATAGTATACATTAAGTTTTCGGAATTCATTGATAATATAAAATTATAACTTTTTAATATACGATTTTTTAGTAAATGAAATTATTAATTTTTCTGTATAGAAAAATATTTTATTTTATTTTTACTAATAATCATAACAACGATAATTTTATTTTTAGGTTAAATATTTATTTGGAAAATGCAAAACATCGTTTCTTAAAAATAAGTTGGTATCTGCTAGACATGGCCCACGCTATTATTAGAGTTGGATAGAGCCCATGGTTATGATAGAGTTCTGTACTTGTTTAATTATTTTTGTCGTAGACTCAGTAGTTGACCTGTGCTCTTGCGCTACTCTTTGCTTAATTATTCTCATAATGAAATCATAAGAGGAAAAAGAAAAATAGCATACTTGAAGGTAGTGCTGATCTGAGAATAATTCTACTGAAGAGGTAAAATTGTACCTATGCAATGTCTGAGTTGCTTTTTGTTCTTTTTAATTTATGCATATTAGGATCAGCTTGTGCTAAGTAGAATGTATTGTGAGATATGACCTTTTTTCTAATATGTTCTTTAATTTTAGTAATTTAAATTAGTTGGAACTCATAAAATGGGGAGAGAGACATAAAAAAATGGAGTGGAACCCACATCTTTTCGTGTTCTTCTGTTGCTGAAATTATTATTTGTACGCTCTCTGAAGACACATGAGCATGATAGCTTTCATTCTTTATACAAAAGTTGAGTTTAAGATTTCAATAAAAACTGGTGCTAGTGCTCACTCTCACCAATCTTGATTCTAAGTTTGTGATTAGTTTAGTATATTTTTAGAAAATAATCGTTAATTTTTTGTAGCTTTTTGAACGTGCTTTTTAAAATGTTAGTGATTACTTGGAAATATGGAGGAGGATTTGTGTAAAAGCACTATTGCACACATGCACTTTTTGGAGGAATGGTTCTCCGGCTTTAAAGGCCCAAACACAGCCAAACAGGGCATGGCTCACATTTTCCTTACTATTGACTACTGAATATAATGGTAAGGTTGATTTCCCTTTGCTTAGAGTTTCTGTTTTACTTGAAAATATGAGTGCACTTTTATCAGTATGAAATTGGTAGTTCATTGTTGATATTTTCAACCCCTTTTGAATCTGATCAAAGTCTTAGTTTTGTTTTCCCACTCGGGTTTGCCGAAAATTGAACTCCTTGGCACTTGTTTACAGAGGCTTTATTATCATGTCGATGAGAAACATTCCCAAAAGCATAACCTGTTAGAGGGATGCCCAAGAACTGTTTTCTGTCATTAATTGGTAGTACTTAGTATCACCATGATCAAGAAGACCAAAGTGTAAATTGATGATAATTTTAGTTCTTAATATTACATGATCAAAAACTGTTCTACAAAAGGAAAAAAGAATGTTTTTTTTAATGAATCTTGCTTAATATATTTTAAATTATTTTTTAAGAAAAGTGATTTACGCATACCATATTGATATTTTGCAAACCAACATTGATCTAAGCATTGATGCTATTAGCACAACTCCTTTTACTCTTGCATACACCTTCCTGTAGTTGCCAGTAATAAATATTGCCTTTTGTTTGTTGGTAAACAATTGCAAACTAACACAGAATAGAATGAACCGTATGAAGTTGGACAACAGATGTCAAATTGTGTATCGTGATTATCTTATAGCTACGGTAGCAATTTACTTTGAAATTGCATTCATTTGGAATCAATGTCAAGAAGTGTGTTCCTTATAGCTGTGTGGCCTCTTTGCACATTACTTATAGCATAACTTGATTGTGAAATTAAGGTTTATGTGGATTTCTTATTGGAACAGTTAACTATTCTATTCGGGTATCATTGCTCTTATTGGCCATGGATTTTGGTACATCTGTTGGGACTGAAATTGTAAAGGATTTGATATATGCTGTAACACGTCAAGATCGTTATTCTGTCTGCTTCAGCAGTTTTGTTGAAGATGTTGGAAAAGAAAAACAAATGTTGACATTAACAAGGAAAAGTGTACTGGATAAAGCGGATAAAGCTAAAAAGAGAACTGAAAAGATTGCTGATGATGTTGAGCAGTGGCTGAATAATGCAGATATTCTCTTGGAAGAAGTGGAGATCCTGGAAAAGAAAGCAGAAACAAAAAAAAGTTGTTTTCTTGGTCACTGCCCCAATTGGATCTGGCGATACCGTCTTGGAAAGGAGGCAGCAAAGAAGAAGCTTACCATAAGAAAGCTCAATACAAATAGTGAATTTAAGCAATTTTCACGCCTTCCTACACTTCCTGGCATGAAATACTATTCTTCTGAAGGTTTTATATACTTTGAGAGTACAAAATCAAATTCTAAATGCACTAAAAGATGATGAGGTTCGCATGATTGGAGTGTATGGCATGGGAGGCATTGGAAAAACGGCCTTGGTAAAGGAAGTTGGTAAAGAAGCAGAGCAAATCTTTGACAAAGTTGTCTTTCTTCCTGTGTCCAGTGCCTTGGATGTTAGAAAAATTCAAGGAAATATTGCCAGCGCATTAGATTTTGAGTTGAAGGAAGAAGATATTTCAGTGAGAGCCAAGCGCTTGTATCTGAGATTAACTAGTGGACAAAATATTCTTATAATTCTGGATGATGTATGGCAAATGCTTGATTTTGAAGCCATAGGGATTCCCTTTGGTGAAAATTACAGGGGTTGCAACATTCTCTTGACTACAAGAAGTCTACATGTATGTACTATGATGCATTGTCAAAGAATAATTCCCCTAACACTCATAACTGAGGAAGAAGCGTGGGCTATGTTCCAAAAACATGCACATATAATGGATAAAGCATCTGAAGCCCTAAAAGGTCTGGCACAAGAAATTACAAATCAATGTAAAGGACTCCCAGTTGCAATCAAAGCTGTAGCTAGCACTTTGAAAGGCAAAAAGATGGTTGAGTGGGTAGAAGCACTGGAAACATTGAGAGAGTCTAAACCACTGGATATCGAACCGGGTCTGGAAAATCCTTATAAATGTCTACAATTAAGTTATGATAATTTGAAGAATGAAGAGGCCAAGTCACTTTTCTTGTTGTGTTCTCTTTTCCCAGAAGATTCAGAAATTCCTCTTGAAATTCTAATCAGATTTGGGTTTGGGCTAGGCTTGTTCGAAGATGTTAATTCATTCGAGAGGGCAAGGACCAAAGTGACTGCAACCATTAATAAACTCCTAAACTCTGGTTTGTTGCTTCAGGCTGAAGAAAGACCAGCTGTGATCATGAATGACTTGGTCTGTGATGTAGCCTTGTGGATAGCAAAGAAAGAAATTCATGTCATTATGGATCCAAAGATGGATACCAAGACATTGAAAGAAGATACAGACATAAAAGGTACAATTAAGTTCTTGTATTGTTATAACATAAATGAATTTCCAGATCAATTGGATTGTCCAAATCTTGAGATTCTATACATGTACAAAGACAGCGAAGGTTCTTTTAAAGTTTTGGTCTTGCATTATCATAGAATTTTAAAAGGAATCCCGAGTCTATTGTTGGCACAGTCAATTCCTTGCTTAACAAATCTTCGAACCTTATGCCTAAGAGGATGCAGATTGGATGACCTCTCCTTTTTGGGAAAGTTAGAGAAACTTGAGACTCTTGAATTCTACAACTGTATGATTAATGAATTGTCAAATGACATAGCAGAACTGAAGAAATTGAGGTTGTTAGATGTATCATTGTGCAGTATAGAAGGAAATCCTTATGATGTTCTGGGAAGATGTTCACAACTAGAAGAGTTGTATTTTATAAAAAATGATCTTCCAGAAAGGGTATTAAATGATCAAAATCTGGTCAAATTCTTTCACAAGAGCAGCTCTTTGTATAGATTTCAAAGGTATCATTTAGATATTGGAAGTTCTGATTATAAATTTAAAGGTGATATGAGATCAAAACTCTTATCTGTAGACCATTTTGATGTCTCCACATCAAGTGCAGCAATCAAGGATCTGGTACAAAGAGCAGAAATTCTTTTTCTTAGAAACATAAAGGGAAGTTGTAAAAATTTTATCCCTAACATAGCTCAAATAGAAGGAAGAAGTACAAATGAGTTGATTGAGCTTCACCTTGATCGTTCTGATGAGATGGAGTGTTTGATTGACACTTCCAATTTGTTTTGTGTTGGGATTGTCTTCTCCAATTTGGTTAAGCTAAGAGTCACATGGATGAAGCATTTGAAGGCACTGTTCCATGGTCCACCTCCGCCTGGCCTTTTTGAGAAGTTAGAGGAGTTGCGTATTGCCCAGTGCAGCCAGCTGCGTAGCATATCATCTTTAGAGAAGCTGAACATGCAATGTCTTAAGGTCTTAAAGTTTGAGAATTGCCCCATGTTGACGTCTCTCTTCTCCCCTGCTGTTATTCAAAGTTTGGGGCAACTGGAAGTACTGAACATAAGACGTTGTGATGGTCTGAAGCATATAATGACAGATGAAGATGCAGAGATTGTTTTAGATGATAATGGTCAACAGAGTTATAGATTAATGTTCACAAAATTAAAACATCTTGTTGTCAAATGGTGTGAAAAGTTGGAAAGCTTAATCCCAGTCACTTTTTCTAAGGGCCTTAAGCAATTGGAGTGTTTGGAAATAGACAAAGCTCCTGAGTTGAAATATGTGTTTCACCAAGATCAGCTATCTTGTCAAAATCAAAATGAATTACATGTCATTGAGTTTCCTGTTTTGAAATTACTGAAGCTCTTACACTTGCCAAATATCATCAACATTTGCCCAGAAAGTTATCATCCAATGTTGCCATGTTTGCAAAACTTATATTTGCAGCAATGTCCCCAGTTAAACGTCATGTCTGTCAGTCATTCCATTTTTGGTTCAATGAGACAAGAAGGTGATACAAAGGTACTGTGTTCAATCATCAATGTACTCTTAATAAATATAGTTTCTGCTATATGCATGATTTTCATGTGTAAGAGCTGGTAAATCATTCCTTTTATGTTACTGTTCACTAAATCATGTATAAAAATAAACATTTGTCTCAAATACTAGTCAGATATTACTCATCAATTCATATAAATTATATATTGTTTTTTAATGTGAAATTTCTTTTCCATTTTCCCTTGAAAGGGTATTTTACGTTATTGATTTGTATGTACATCAACATGCATTGAATAAGGGGCAGGGGTTACTTATTTTGGATATAGTGCAAAGAAAATAAGTTGGGCTATTTTCTCAAAAAGTAAAAGATCATAAAATACAATAATATGAGTTGTGAGTTCTGACTCTTATAATATCTAGTTAGGAGATTTTACCATAATTACCTGAAATAAGTAAATAAAAAATCCCAAATAATTCATTTGAAAATTAAAATATTATTTTGGAAATTATTGCGTTTTAGGTATTATAGGTGGAAAAGAACAGGGAGAGTAGAAACTGAATACTCTGGATGTGGTGTGATGTATTACAATGTCACACCATAAAATACCAACCTTCATTTATACCAATGCTAGTATCCCCAAGTAGATAAGGAAATAAGAAAACTAAACCTAAAAGATAATAAAATAATTTTAATATATTTTCACTCCCTATCAAGTTAAAGCTTGAAGCATGTTACAAATAAACCCCCTTTAAGAAAAAAAAAAATATAACGACCATGCCAAACATAGCTAGAAAGGCAACTTAGCAAAATGGTTGAAATGATTATCTGTCCAAAAGGGATGTTGGAATAGTGCATGCCAAGGAAGAAGAGATATCACTGGAATGACCATCAGCAGGAATTTTCTAGTCAGCAAATTATATCCAAAAATAACTAAAACTTCTCTGAATTAATCAATAATTGTATTTGGAAGCTTTATACCTTAAACACATTTAGCAATCCAAAAAACATAGGTAACACAACACTAAGGTGTGCATTATAGCTGGAAAAAACTTATCATGAGCATGACTCATCAGTGAGAAGAGAAATCACCATTGGTAAGATTCACAATGGGACGCTAGTATAATACGTAGTGAATTCATCACTGCATGACTCATTGGTGAGAGGCTGGTATGCATGCTTCACCAAAGTTGGTCATCGCTGGGGATTTCATGGCAGTGGTGGTTGGAGATTCCAATTTTCAAAACCTATGGACCTAAGGCTGTAGCAACTTGTAGCTTTCCTAGAGATTTTACTGCACCTGTGGTAGGAGATTTCAAAATGTAGAGCTCTACAGCTCAAGGTGGTGGTGGTTGGAGATGCTGTCACACACAAATTGTGATCTTAGTCAGATTTAATTCTAACTCTAGGAACAAAAACAATGGTTTTTATTCTACGTCTTTTTAGTTTGACGTATCCAAGTATGTGAGAAAAGGGAAATGGGCAATACACCTTTGTGTAGCTTGTATACTCAATAGACTGTTAACCACTTTGTTGAAACAACGTTGCAGCCAAATCTTGTCTTGGATGTTTTTAATTTGTGTTAAACACACATATGAATCTTAAATTCACCTTGCATTTCTTTCCATCATGGATTTCTAGCATGTTTATTATTCACGCTTTTGCAGGATTTGAGGCCACTTGTTATACAGCTCAGCCAAGTGGTTAATGGAGTTCCATCTTTACTATCTCTGCAAAATGTAGAAACGCTTGTGGTTGGGTTTTGTAAAATAGAAGGCATTTTTGAGCTGACTGGACTTCCCATCAATGGGGTGCTAGATCCACTGACATTAAGCTTACACCATTTGTCTTTGGCGAACCTACCCGAGCTGGGTTATATATTTAGGGGTCCTTTACAAGTTCTGAGCCTTCCTTGTCTAGCAGAACTATGTGTTCATGCATGTGGAAGATTAAAATCTATTTTCTCAGCTTGTATAGCTGAAAGCCTACCTCATTTGGAAGTGCTGGACATAAAACATTGTGATCAGTTAGAGAAGATTGTTGATGATGAAGAACAACAAAATTGTTTGAATCATTGTAAGGAATCCAATGAAGTGGAGATCACTGTGATTTCTACTCCTCTTGAGTATATGACTCATGCCAACAGAAGCACAGGTACACTTTAAAAATAGTAATACACAGAACCCTTGATCTTTTTTCTTTAATTTTTGTATAAAATAATTAGTAGGACAATGTTAGTAAAAATATAGACAAACCATAATATCATTCCATAGACTGATAAAATGGATGTGCATTTCTAAAGAACCTCCTCTTCATCGTTTCATTTGTAAAACAAAATAAAATTATCTGACCCTTCAAGCTCGACTATTAAATATAATGAAATGCTAAACAATGGTAGAAATTTGGGATCCTCAAAGTTGTTATGTAACTGTTAATATGAGAGAAAATTAGAAGGTACGAGAGGAATTCCATGTGTTTCAACTACACCACATGATGTATATTTATATTAGTAACAGTAATAGTAATCATAGCTACAAAATATAAAATAAATATACGATTACCTAATTACTATAATTATATTAATATTGTTTCCCTAAATAACATATTTACACATATTTAACACTCCTCAATTTAGAGCATATAAATCATATGCACCGAGCTTGTCACATCTATACTTAATACAAGGACCCCTTACAAACTTTGTGAATACATCTGTTGGTTGATCAATTGACAAAACTTGTGGCAATAACTCCAGATAAGATCTTTTTACGAAGGAAGTGACAATCAATCTCAATATGTTTCGTTCATTCGTGAAAGACTAGATTCGAGGTAATGTGTAAAGTTACCTGATTATCACAAATGATTATCATTTGTGTGTCTTCTCTAAATCTCAATTCTTTAAGTAGTTGTTTCAGCCATATAAGTTCACATGTGGCTGAAGCCATGATTGGATGTTCTGCTCTTGTACTAGAGAGAGAAACCACATCTTGCTTCTTGCTTTTCTAGGAAATTACATTACTTCAAATCAAAACACAGTAGCAAGAAATGGACCTCTTATCATGAGACCCTGCATAACCTGCATCAGAATATCCAACAATCTTATCATAACCCTTGTCTTTGTACATGAGACCTTTTCCTAGAGCACCTTTGATATACTTCAAGATGCGAATCAATGCATCTCAGTGTCCTTCACAGGAAGCATTGAGAAACTGACTTACCGCACTAACAATAAAAGAGATTTTGAGTCGAGTAATCGTGAGGTAATTTAGTTTATCAACCATTCTTCTATACTTTTTCGGGTAACAACATGGTAGTCAAAATTGAGATTTTATGTAGGATTGGAGAAGGGGTGAAAGATCATAACTTGTAAGATCGTTACACGGATCATAAGATCTTACAAATTATATAAATACATATAAAATAGTATAAATATAAAAGTAAAAGAAGCTAAACAAAGATAAACGGGAGAAGGGAACCACCCTTAACTCATAATAGAAACAGGGACATGCCCATTAAAAACAGAGACAAAGAAGAGGAGAAGAGAAAGATAGATTAGGTAATGTCTTCTGATGGAAGAACTCTTTTACCCTTAAAAAACTTACAGCAGAATCATTTTAAGGGCAAAAAGGGAAAGTCAAATTATTTTTAAAAGTTAAGAAGTCTTTCTTACCCTTAAAAACCCCCTAAAATCTGCCTCATTCTGGGGATAGAAAGGAAAAGTCGACAACTTTTGCACCAGCAGCACTGTTGCACTTCAAATTAGGCCACAACAATGGCTGCAAATACAGCTACGATGGTTGCCACACCAAAATGCTCCGCTATGACAAGGTTGCCGGTGCAGACAAGGATGTTGGAGCAGATATAATCATAAAGCTATAGGGATTAAATGAATGAAGTCGCAGATCAGAGGAAAGGTTTAGGGAACATAGAATGAAATCAATTTTAGGGTTTCAAGCAAACTAGGTCGTGGGTCATTGGGTTAAAAATTGGGTTTGAAAACATGGGAAGATCGTCCGAGCTTACCGGCTTTATGTTCTGGCATAGAAATCCCAACCGATCTTGCTAAATCACAATCCTGGCACCGAGCTAGCACGAAGAGGGAGTCGGAGATTGTAAAATCGTGCAATTTTATGATCTGGCACACTATTTTGACTACCATGGTCAACAAGAGGCCCCTATGACTTGGTTGAAGTTTAAAATTAGGATCCATAGGAGTATCCATAGATTTAGCCCCCATCAAACTTGTTTCTTCTAATATATCCAATGCATACTTCCTTTGAGAAATTACAATACTCTGCTTGGATTGTGCCACCTCTATTCCCAAGAAATATCGAAGTTTTCCAAGGTCTTTGGTCTGAAAATGATGACATAAGTGGTTCTTTAATTGTGTAATGTCATAATAGTCATTGCCAATAATAACAATATCGTACAATGATGGTACACCTATAACAAACGTTGAGGAGGGTCATCTAAAGGAGGTGTGACCTCTGGTGGGTGAAAAACAACCGGAATTGGTGGTGAAGGTATGATAGATTTTGGTCTTGGCCTAGACACTGCAGAAGAATAGAAAATAATTCAAAACGATCTTTCATTAAAAATGACCACATACAATGAGAATAATGATCAATAAAAATAACAAAATAAATAAAACCTAAAGTAGAAATAGTACAACTAGAACCCCAAACATCAGAATGAACCAAACTAAAAGGAGATGTGACTTGCCTATTTTCACAACTCGAAAAGGAACTATGACATGTTTTCCTAGTTGACACGACTCACAAGAAAGTGTAGATAACTGAGAGAGACTTGGTACTAATAGTTGTAGTTTCTGAAGACTTGGATGTCCCAACGTAGCATGTGAAAGAAGAGGGAAATTCACCGCTGAACCAGCATGTGTCAAGGGTTGAATTTGACAAAGTTCATGTGACTCAGCTGGTGCCAATTATCTGCCCCATCATCCGGTTCTGGAGAAAAATAAAATCTTTAGTAAAAGAGACAACACAATTAAGTGTGCGAGTGATCAATAAAAGTAACAAAATACCTAAAACCTAAAGTAGAAATAGTACAACTAGAACCCCAAACATCAGAATGAACCAAACTAAAAGGAGATGTGGCTTGCTTATTTTCACAACTCGGAAAGGAACTATGACATGTTTTTCTAGTTGACATGACTCACAAGAAAGTGTAGATAACTGAGAGAGACTTGGCACTAATAGTTGTAGTTTCTGAAGACTTGGATGTCCCAACCTAGCATGTGAAAGAAGAGGGGAATTCACCGCCGAACCAGCATGTGTCAAGGGTTGAATTTGACAAAGTTCATGTGACTCAGCTGGTGCCAATTATCTGCCCCATCATCCGGTTCTGGAGAAAAACAAAATCTTTAGTAAAGGAGACAACACAATTAAGTGTGCGAGTGATACAACTTATAGATAAAAGATTAAAAGGAGACCCAGGAACATATAAGACATTGTCGATAGATAATAGTGGAAGAGGAGAGACAGTGCCGACATCCTGAAATTGTGTTTGAGACCCATTGGTCATAGTAGTTGAAGGTAAGAACCCAGATGTAGAGAGGGAGGAAAAAAGGGACTTGTTACCAGTAATATGATCAGTGGCACTTGAATCAAGCACCCATGGACCAAGAGATGGGAAATGAGAAATACTAATAAAAGAATTACCCATGTGCACAATAGAAGTAGTGGAACCAGAGGCCTAGCGATCCTCATACCAACGAAAGAAATCGTTAAAGAGTGTTGGTGGGATGTTGGGAGTGGAAGCAGACTCAGTAGAAACAAGCTTCAAAGCAGGTTCTAGAGGAGTTGGAGTTGCCATGGGTCAGCCTAGAAGCGGGAGAAATGCGACCAAACAATGGTAAAACAAGGTAAAAAGTAGCGGTGATGGTGAGAAACTGGTAAAAAAAAAACATGCCGGAAGTCACTGGCGAGTGAACAGTATTGCCGGAAAAGTCGTCGGCGAGTGGACAATGGCAGCCAGAAAGAAAAGAACAGATTAGAGTTTCCTCCTTGTTAAGCTCTTAATCATACCATGTTAAAATGAGAGAAAGCTAGAAGGTATAAGAGAAATTTCGTGTGTTTTAACTACACCACGGGATATATATTTATATTACTAATGGTAATAGTAATCAAAACTACAAAATTAAAGACAAATATACGGTTACCTAATTACGATAATTATATGGACACTGTTTCTTAAATGACATATTTACATATATTTAACAGTAACAAAAGTACTAGAGCACTAAATTACATGCCAACCTAAGTACTGCCAAGCCAAATGGTTTATAGGCAAAAATTACTACTGTAATTCAAGTATTTTACCTTATGTATTATTGATTTGGTCACTAAACTTTTTATGATGCTAATTTGTTTTGTAAGATTTTTTACAAGATGCTACATGTTATTTTCTATCAATTATCATTTTTATTAAATATATGTAAATATATTATTTAGGAAAATAGTATTCGTATAATTAGAATAATTAGGTAACCGTATATTTGTCCTTAATTTTGTAGCTATAATTAAGATTCTCGTTATCAATCTAAAAATATACATCCCGTGGTGTAGTTGAAACACACGGAATTCCTTTCATGCATTTTTTATTTCTCTCATCTTAACATGGTATCAAAAGTTTAACAAGAAGAAAACCCTAATCCATTCTTTCTCTGCAGGCCCATTGCTCATAGGTGTAATTTTTTTTTTTAAGAAACCGTGTGTCTCCGTTTTCTGATATTTTTCCAACCGCACTATTTACTCGCCAGATACTTTTACTTACCGCCACTGCTCACTCTCCGACAACTTTTCCGTCCGCTGCTGTTCATTGTCTGACGACTTTTTTCGGCTACATGTGTTCATTGTTTGGCGAATTTTATCCGGCCACACTGTTCACTCTCCGGCGACTTTTTCAGCCGCTACTATTCACACCGCTACTGACTTTTTCGGTATTCCTTTTCTTGACTGGCTTCTCACCACTACTATTGCTGTTTACCTTGTTTTACCACTGTTTGGTTGTGTTTCTCTTTCTTCTAGTTTGATCCATGGCGACTCCTGCTCCTCCCAACATTCCACCAGCATTCTTCAACGCTTTCTTTTGTTGGTATGCTGATCGTTAGCCCTCTTCTTTCACATGCTAGGTTAGGACATCCGAGTCTTCAGAAACTACAACTATTGGTACCAAGTCTCTCTCAGTTATCTACACTTTCTTGTGAGTCGTGTCAACTAAAAAAACATGTCCGTAATTACTTTCCGAGTTGTCAAATTAAGCAAGCCAATCTCCTTTTAGTTTGGTTCATTCTGATGTTTGGAGTCTTAATCGTACTATTTCTACTTCAGGTTTTAGGTATTTTGTTACTTTTACTGATGATTATTCTTGTTGCACATGGTTATTTTTAATGAAAGATTATTCTGAATTATTTTCTATTTTAAAAATTTTTTTAATGAGTTTAAAGTTCAATTTGGTCTTCCAATTCGCATTTTGTGCAGTGATAATGTTATGGAGTACGTGTCACATTCCTTTCAAAATTTCATGGCGTCTAATGGCATACTTCATCAAACTTCTTATGGTCATACTCCTCAACAAAATGGGGTTACTGAAAAAAAAGACACCTTTAGTTGTGTCCTACATCGTTTTTAGGGAGATGCCGTCTTGACAGCTTGTTATCTTATCAATTGGTTGCCGTCTTTTGTTCTCCATAACTAGGTACCACATTCTATATTGTTTCCTAAACAGCCTTTGCATCCTATACCTCCCCATGTGTTTGGGTCCACATGCTTTGCCTATAATCTTAGTCCAAGTAATGACAAACTCTCTCCTCGTGCCCACAAATGTGTTTTTCTTGGTTATAGTCATTCTCAAAAGAATTATAAGTGTCTTAAACGTTATTTTATATTTGCTGATGTTACTTTCTTTGAGTTTGTTCCAGTTTTTAGTTCTCCTACAATGTCTGAGTTAGAACTAGAGTACGTCATACTTTTGCCACCAGTTCTGGTTGTTTTTTACCCACCAAAGGTCACACCTATTGATGACCCTCATTTACATCTGTTACAAGTGTATCATCGTTGGCCACCTTTGCCCACTATTGGCATACCATGTGACCCTCCTCCGATCCTATCACCTGACACTAATCTCCCTATTGCACTTTGAAAAGGTATACGTTCCATTCGTAAGCTCTCTTCTCATTATGCTGCTTTATCATATCATCGTCTATCTTCTTCCTATTATATGTATCTTTCTTCTTTGTCCTTTGTTTCTATTCCTAAGAATGCAACAAAAGCTTTCTCACATCCTACTTGGTGTTAAGCAATGCTTGATGAAATGTGTGTGCTTCACAGCAGTAGCACTTGCGACCTCGTTCCTCTTCCTTCAGGTAAATTTGTTGTTGGTTATAGATAGATATACACTGTCAAAGTGGGTCCTGATGGTCAAGTGGATCGCCTTAAAGATTGTCTTGTGGCAAAAGGCTATACTCAAATCTTTGGCTTGGATTTTGGTTACACATTCTCTCCAGTTGCTAAAATGACCTTTGTGGACTTGATCTTGTCCATGGCTGCCATCCACCACTGGAAACTTCATCAATATGGCATTAAGAATGCATTCCTTCATGGCGACCTTGCTGAGGAAGTTTATATAGAGCAACCTTCTGATTTTGTTGTTTAGGGGGAGTCTTCAAGATTAGTTTGTCATCTTCGGAAATCTTTTTATAGTCTTAAACAGTCTCTAAGAGCTTGGTTTGGTAGATTTAGTATTGTTGTCCAACAGTTTGGGATGATTCAAAGTGAAGCTAATCCCTCAGTTTTTTTATCACCACTCAGCTATAGGATGCATTTACTTGGTTGTGTATGTGGACGATATTGTTATCACTGGCCGTGACCATCATGGCATTACAAAGTTGAAGAACCACTTATGTCACAATTTTTAGACAAAAGACCTTGAAAAAATTTGATATTTCTTGGGAATAGAAGTGGCAAAATCCAAGCATGGTATTGTAATTTTTCAAAGAAAGTATGTATTGGATAAATTGGAGAAAACAAGTTTAATGGAGGCCAAATATATAGATACTCCTGTGGATCCTAATTCTAAACTTCTACCAAGTCAGGGAGAGCCTCTTGTTAACCTAGAAAAGTATAGAAGATTGGTTGGTAAACTAAATTATCTCAGTTATTTGACCCGACATCTCTTTTGCTGTTAGTGTGGTAAGTCAGTTTCTTAATGCTCCCTGTGAAGGACATTGGATATATCAAAAGTATTCCAGGAAAAGGTCTCCTGTACAAGGATAAGGGTCATGATAAGATTGTTGGATATTCTGATACAGGTTATGCAAGCTCTCATGATAGGAGATCTATCTCTGGCTATTGTGCTTTAATTGGAGGTAATCTCTTGGAAGAACAAGAAGCAAAATGTGATTTTTCTTTCTAGTGCAGAAGCAAAATATTGAGTCATGTCTTCAATCACATGTGTATGACTGAAACTACTTAAAGAATTGAAATTTAAAAAAGATACACAAATGACACTCATTTGTGATAACCAAATAGCCTTACACATTGTTTCGAATTCAGTCTTTCACAAACAAACAAAGCATATTAAGATTGATTATCACTTCCTTTGTAAAAAGATCTTATCTAGAGTTATCGCCACAAGTTTTGTCAATTCAAATGATCAACTGACAAATGTATTTACAAAGTCTTTAAGGGGTCCTTGTATTCAGTACATATGTGACAAGTTCAGTGCATATGATTTATATGCTCCAACTTGAGAGGGAGTGTTAAATATATTATTTAGAGAACTATTATCTGTTAAATATATTATTTAGAAAAACAATATCCGTATAATTATAGTAATTAAATAATCGTATATTTGTCTTTAATTTTGTAGCTATGATTACGATTCTCGTTATCAATATAAATATACATCCCGTGATGTAATTGAAACATACAGAATTACTCTCATGTCTCTTTGTTTTCTTTCATCTTAATAATTTTGTTTTTTATTGTGTCAATTGTTTAATTCTTAAATATATTGTATTAGGGACTTTTTTTCTGGGGAATTTAAAGTGAACATGGAAATAGATTGAATTTCAAATTATTTTTAAGGGACCCCCCAAACTTTTGTCCATTTACAAAGAGAAACCATAAACTATAATTAGTCTCTGAACTTCAACTATTATGTAATAGATCCTTCAGGTAAAATTCTCTTTTAAATAACTAATAGAACTGATGCTTGACTAAATCCCATTCTTATAATTCTGCTTAATCGCAAGCATTGATTAATATTAAATTTTAACACATCAAATTTTAAATACTTTAAAATAATGAGAAATTAAGAAAATGAAACAAAAAAGGTAGAAAAAGTCCGTGGGCACTATTGCTCATGTTTCTTGCCAGATCTATTTTATGCTGCATCAACCATTTGTAACTTCATCCCAGCAGTCAATTACGACTGCATAATATCTGCAAACGGGGGACTGCCCAATGGATTGCCTGCACAAGGACTACCTAGCTTCAACATGTTATTAGAAGTAGGAGATTTTAGTTTCTCAGTATAGTTTTTTTTTTTTTTGTTTTTAAGATTAGATTTGTATCCATTTAAGCTTATGATAGTGTCAATGTAGGTGCTTCCATTGTCTCTATACATGGCCACATAATACTTTTCTGTAGGAGCTCCCATTGTCTCTGTCGCCTACTTCCAAAGATGGCAGTGGCACTGTCACTGTGGAAGGGAGAATGGGAAGGAGGAAGAGAAAAGTGGTGATTTGCAATAGTTATTTTGAATTTTGAAAGTATTTAAATTTTTTTTTAATTTAAAAAGTTTAAAATTAGTCAAGGTTTGAGATTGGATAGAACGTTAGAAATATATGGTTTGGATTTTTCCATGTATCATTTTTGTAAGTTATTTAACAAATTTAATGGAAGCGTCTGTTAAAATAATAGTTAGAGACTAATTATAATGACTTGAAAGTTCATTGCATATCTTTGCAAACGGCCAAAAATTTAATTGGGCTGAATACATGTTTATCTGTGTTCACTAAAATTGGGCTTTAAACTTTTTAAGTGAATTACAGTGATCTCACAGCATGTGCAATGTTTTTACATTGTTCCAAAACAAAATTCAATTTAGCATTTTATATTTTTTCTATAAAGGAAAAACATAATAGATGTTACATTTATTGCACCATTAGAATGCATAAACTCCTGATCGATCCTCTTGGCATTTTGTTTCAGGGCCATTTCGTTTGCACAATCTTAAACAGCTGAAAATAGCATCTTGTCCTATGTTGAGATCATTGTTCACCCCATTCACTGCTAAAACTTTGACGTCACTTCAATATTTGACAATAGAAGAATGTCATGGATTGAAATTCATAGTAACTGAAGAGGCAGTTCAAGAAAATAACAGGGAGGAGATGATTATGAAGGCTAATGAAGGGAACTGTGATGTATTGTTCCCCAAATTGGAAGTTCTTAGGGTTGAAAAATGTGATTTATTGGAGTACTTATTTCCAGTTTATTATGCTCGCGGTCTAGTGGAACTGAAAATTATGTTTGTATGTGAAGCTCCCCAGATAAAGTATATATTTGGTGAAAGTCAGCACAGAAAGAATTCTTCCAATAAAAACAAAAGTCAGATCCAAATTCAGCTTCCTGCTTTGACTGAACTTTGTCTTAGAGGTCTATCAAGAATTATTAGCATTTGCCCAGAAAGGTTTTATGTTTCATGCTTATCTTTGCGACGATTTTCTCTTGATTCACTTGGATTACCCAACATGTTGACTAGGAATTTGATATCTTCAAAAGCATCACAGTGGGGTTCCACATCCAACCAGGTAAGCTTCTCTCTCTCTCTCTATCTGTCTATTTACTTTAATTTGTTGAATGAATAAAGATCTCTGTAGCTCAGATTTGTACCAGACTTAAATAGGAGAAATTCTTAGCTGCTTCTGTTGTTGAAGGAAACATCATTTTCTTCAATCTCTTTCGGAAATAACATATCTCCTTCAATATAATTGGGGAATATCACATCCCCTTCTTCACATGCTCGCATAAATCTTGAAATTGGAGAAAACCATCTCAAACAAATCAGGCATAATTTAATGTGGTCTGACTTGACTTGAATAAAAAGGAAGTATTATTGAATATTATTTCTGGGATATCAACGAATACCAAATTGCACACTACAGGACACTGTATAGACTAGAGTAAAGAATTTCTAATTTTTGTCTTTCCTAAAATAAGACTCAATTTATGGTAACTAATAATCTACACTAGTAATAGAAAATAACAAATGGTTATGTTAGCAGACAATGTAGGACTGTTACAACAATCCCTTCAAGTTGGTGAATAAATATCCATCATTCCTAGCTTTTCAACAAATTCTTAAAACCTCACTGTAGCTTTTCATGAAATATTTGTCTTTTGAACCCCTAAAGGAACATGTAGTATGTTGATTAGTCCACTTTGCATAAGAGGAAAACATAAGGAAAGAAAGATATCATGAGTTGTATGGAACTTACATTGCCAAAAACAACAACCCCACAATGAGGTAGCAACAAAAATTTGGGAAAATATAGTTCTAGTGATTTTAAGTAAATGATGATTCTTTCTTTCACGAAGACTATTTTTCTGAGAAGTATCAATACTTGTTAGTTTATGAACAATACTGTGTGCTTTAAGAATGCAAAGAAAGGTTGCCAAACTATCTGAACACTGAACCATGCGATAAAATTCCATCATCAACAAAAATATAAATAATCTTCAGGTCTTCTTGTCAACACACATGCTCCACCATTGTCACACTCACACATCTTGACTGTAACAAATCAGGTCTTTCAAGACTTCAAAATCAGTGTCAAGTTTCCAATCAAATCTTCAAATTGGCTGATCAATACTAGCTTAGAGATTTTGGTCCTGCAGAACTCAATAACCAACTAATCAACTTGCATTACATTCTCTGCCTCCATGTATAACAACCTAACCAACTAAACGGTTTTTAACATCTGATTAACAATGTCAACTCTCAAAAGGTCTAACTAAAAGGGGATAGCCACTTGATTCCTTGTGCCCTTCCGTATTTTTTTTCTAGACTCCTAGTGTTAACACTCCTTATTGGAAGAGCTTATAAATAGCTTATGATCTCCATAAGCTCTTTTTAGCTTATTTCTATTAGCTTCTTGATATAGCTTATTACAATAGTTTATTTTAGCTTATTCCAAAAAGCTTCATGATTAAATTTATGACATAAATCAGCATTTTAAAACAACTTATAAATAAGCACTTAATTAAGTAGTATATCCAAATTGTTAGGACCAGGGAAGAAGAACATATGATTGACACTAACAAGACACCTTAAGTGTGGAAAGTGTATGTTAGGAAGAAGGGAAGGAAGGAGCCAACTGCTAGTTAGTTGTTAATACCCTTTAAATAGAGTTAGACTGAACTAGGGGGACTTTTGGTTTTTCTGTAAAATACCGTTAGGGAGAATTGTTCTCTGTTCAGGAGCGGATAGCTCTGGAGGATTCTTGTAATCTTGATTCTTTTCAAAGAGGTCAATAACAATTGTTAATATTCCTCAGTCTTTTTCTTGATTTTAACTCTCATACCCCAACACAAATACACCCTAAAATAGGATAGGAAAGCATTAAAAAGCACAACAATAATGTATTACCATTTTACTAGAGAACTCTAGCTACTTTGGTCCAAAACAAGAAGAAAAAGTCTTACTATTAGAGTGTCAACTTAAGAACTTCAAATCTATAATGTTTTTAATGTTGTGTAGAAAAATGTCTTGGTTAAGATGTCCTCGTTGATTGGGAATACAGTTAAAATACTCCTTATAAATTGGACATCTAGCTTTTGGGGTTGAGTCAGTTTTAGTCCATTTCGAATATCATGTTAGAGCTTATTTGGCTTTGATGTCGTACCACCAGTAGATATGTGCAGTCCTGGGGCTAAGATAGATGGTGGTCAGAATTTGAATGAGAATTTGGCAATAGTTATTGTTTTCAACAAAAATAAATAAATTCAATAATTTATTTCAGTCATCAACTATCACTTATAAATTGAAAGGACTAATGTATTTAATTTTCTCCACCATGTACGCAGGTGTCATTGGAAGAAGTTGAATATGGACAAACCATAGAAGATTCAGGCAAACTTTCGCTTTGTAACTGTGAAATAGAAGCCATTTTCCAAATAGAAGGACCTTCAATTAATAGAGATCAAGATCCACTGACCTTAAGCTTAAGCTACTTAGATCTGCACAATTTACCTGAATTGAAGCATATATGGAAGGGTCCCCTACAACTTCTGAACCTTGAAAATCTCATAGAGTTATCTGTAGTTGAGTGCCAAAAATTGCAACACATCTTCTCTTCCTCAGTCTTGAGAAGCCTTCCCCATTTAATGTCCTTCACTATTAAAAAATGTGACCAATTGATGCAAATTATTGAAGACAAAGGTGATACAAATTTTTTATCTCATCATTGTCAGCGTGTATGTTTCCCAAGGCTGGAAATCCTTGATATTCAGCAGTGCAATGACTTGAAATGTCTTTTATCTATCTCCTCATCTCATGAGTTTCCTCAGCTACAATACCTGTTTATAGAAAATTGCTCTCTATTAGAGAAAGTCTTTGGGGAGGAATGTGAGATTGAACAAGAGCAGACACTTTCACTTCCCACTCTGGAGTGCCTAAGGCTTAGAAAACTGTCTACTTCTATACCAGTAGTTCTGAATGGTTATGATCCTTCACCTGTTGTCATTCTGGATTCAGAAGCTACAAATTCCTCTCCAATAGCTCCCTCCATTGATCTAGAGTCATCAGTTTCACTTCCTCTTGTTCATCATAGAATACCTACTGAGGTTGATCCGTTGGATTCTTCAATGGGGCAATGGGATATTACTCCAACAGAATATGCTGCTTTTAGGGATATAGGGCCAATCAAGAAAAGGCACGTCCCTCTTTTAGAGCAAGCTATATCAAGTTACCCTTCTCTTTGGTCATGGCGTGAGAAATTCATGCGACCAAAAATGAGAGAATTTGGATACACCATTTTGGGTGATATGTTGGAATTCCTCACATTGACAAGGTGGGGAGACCTTACTGAAACAAAATAGGTTGAATTTGAGTCTTTAGTATGTGAGTTGGAGACCTTTGGCTTTGATATTCAATGGTTGAGGAACACAGACATTGATTAAGCAAAGCCAAATACACAAGGAAACCATTGATCACATGAAGACACTTGAAATGCAAGTAAAGGAACAACATGCTGTTATGGAGGACCTGGAGGTTTGTCTCCAAATGGCCAAAGTGGAGCTAGCAAATTTGAAATCAGAACTAGGTAGCTTAAGATGTGAGCTTGGAAACTTTGATGAATTCATAGGATTTTGAACAAGTAAATAAAGCTTTGACATCATTTCCTGATAGATAAAATTTTAGTATGCTAAATTTGACTTTGCGAGTTGTAATTTGAAATGTTTTACTGGATAAAATAAATAAATCATTCGTGCATCGATTAAAATAATAAATTTAGAGTATTAGTATTGGTATTTAATTGAACCAATAAAAATGCTTATCAACTACAAATTTACAATGGCAGTATTTAAGGCCTCTTGGCCCTGTATGGAAACATAGCAAAAGCCCCAAAGAAATTGAGAATTTGATGAATGAATTTATATTAACTATTAGGATACAGTGCGACTTAAATACCAGAAAATGCAATTAACTATCTAATTGATCATAACCATCCAACTATAACATCCCCTTTAGTTACAAATGTATATAACCTGCCAGATTTTGTCTTTTCTTCACCATCCCAATCCCACATCTGGAAGACAAAGCCACAAAGTAGGAGAAAAAGAATTACAATCATGAAACAGACAAAAAATCAATGAGCTAGCTTTCCATATTCCAGAGAATGGTCCCTTCTGTTCGTAGAATATTTTGCTGATAATGAAGGCTGTAATCTGCTACATAAATATCAAGATTGCGCTAGACCTTGGACTCTCTTTGCGATATTGTATGAACATGAAATCACATCAGCTTGCATGTTCTTCTCAAATGTGGACAATTGAATTGAACAGATTCTAAGCAGTAGTAACACAATCACCTGGGTATACGTGTAACAATATAGTGTCCCTTCTCAAGGTCATATACTGTCTTCAATTGTGGCTTTCTCCATTGCATTACAAAGAACGCAGCAAGTATGATTAAGAAAAGAAATGCAAATAATGAAAAATATGTGACTGATTCATTCCCAACAATCATCCCTGTATCTATATGTTCCAAGTCAAGGGGTTCTGCCATTGTTTCAATTAAGAAAGACCCAAGCGTCCAGTCAACATGACTGTATATCTTCTGGTTCCCAAATCCAATCCTGCATATATGGTTCCCAAAAAAACACAGTTATCACTCTCCTTTCAGCTGTAAACTTTTTTAATGGGTGGTTTACCAAAAGAATCACAGCGCCTTTATGTCATTTTAACTGCCTGTCAAATATAATTTTTTTAAAAGAATATTCCATTTTGCCTATTTAGTTAGGAACACAGTCGCAATACCTTTTCTCTTCCACTGCAATCCCAAGAACATCATGTAATAGTGCCAGCATATATGCAGAAGAGAAGCAATACTTCAACAAATCTAGATAATCAATTTCATTATGTTGATCTTTAAGAGCATCCCAGTGATTTTCACAGTAATGTTGGCCTGCTGCCCCCAGTTCAAACAAAGAAGTCCCAGGAGCCATCCTAAGAATCTGATAGAAATTAGCAGACACGGTGTAAAATAGTTAGAGATGAAGCTTTCAGTTTTGTTTTTCCCATTCAACAATGAAAAGAAACAGTGCGAGAGCAACACAAGGATATAGTAAGAAGTTAGGTTTGGTATACATGGCCCTAATTTTTCACATATTTAAAATACACAAATCCTTTACCTATTTTAGAACCTATGAAATCCCATACTAAATACAACAAAGGTATAATACAACACATATGCAGTGATATGGTGAATTCTTAAAACTTCAAAATATAACATGGCCTATATAAGTCAATACAAATTTATTAAAAGGGCATATATTTTACATGGATGAATAAATATTAGTAAAGATACATTGATCATTTCTCATTACTACGTAACCATTAACCATATTAGTAGAGGAAGATCACAATTGACAAAAAGATACCTGTGAAGTTGCGATCATAACAAAAATACTTGATTACATATTTCTCCCTTGCCCATAATAGGAATATAATACATTATTTCCCTTATTTACATGCTATAAAAGAGTTGTGCCAAGCAGTAGCAACTTGTAGAAGTGGAGGAAAGAAACGTTGAGACATTAACAGAGTCATTTTAATTAAAAAAAAATTATTAGTGTATTATTTTATGTTTGGTTAAGCCATATCAGTGCCATATATAAATGTACAAAAAAAGGGGAAACAGAAAACAAAGTCCGTCTTGTGTTTGTAAGAGCTTTATTGTTCAGAAAACAGGAGTAGTGAACAGCTAACCAGCACTCATAACAATCCTAACCATGCTAGTTAAAATCGCAATTTTACCTCAACGATCCCAATCACACTTTGTGAGTCGTTTTGCTAGGATAGGTAGGATTGTAAGATCTTCCTCCTAAGATTGTAGGATTGAACAATTTTTCTGATCCTGCTCGAACTCGTTTCTTTTGAAAAAAAACCATTAACTCATTCTTTTTGGCACTTTTCTTCACCTTTTTTTGCTCTTATCCACACAAAAGTTCTAAACCCCTTCTTGGTTTTTCTACTTCTGAGTTTGGCCCTATTCACTTCAGTTCTGTTGCTTCTAGGTTGAACTCTTGGTTCATTTTTTTGAGGGTTCCTAACTACTCCTTGCTTTGGTTCAGTTGCTATACTATTTGGGACCCTGGATTCAAGTTTCTGATCTCTACTAGGTTACACTCTTTTAATCTGTTTAGTTATTTACAAAAGTCTTTTAAGTGGAAAAGGAGCTTCTAGCGGGGGTAATGGAAGTTCAGGTGCTGCTAGAGTTGGAAGCAGCTAGGATGATGCTGCCGGTGGGGGTTCTGAATTTGAAATTGTTGTGACTTATAAGTTTATGGCTGTTAGTAAGTTATTTGGTCTTATTTTTATTAATTTTTATGCATATATATGAATTCAAAATCATTTTTTATTTTTAGTAGGATCTTACAATGACACGACTTTCGTGTTTCTCTAACCTTTCCAATCCTAGGTAGGATCTTCATTTTGACTACCTTGATAATAACTTATGAAATAACAACGATGATGAAGTGATTTTACAAAGTGAAGTTATTACAAACCTCAGAAGTATACAAGAAGCTTCTTGAAGAAACTTGTTCACCTAATGACTCGTAAAAGGATGAAGTGATTTTACAAGGTGGGTGCAGGCATCTTTCTGTAAAAAGATATAAAGAGCAAAAATTATTGGTGAATATATTTAAAATAAACCGTCATGTAAATATAGAGAATCAGACACCTTCCCAGGAGCAAAAAGGATAAAAAAAGGAAATAAAATTGTTAAATAACAGGTTTTGCAAAGTTAGAGAAATTTAAAAGTAACCAGAAAAACTGTCTAAATATATATATATATAGTTAAATAAAGTTTCAGCAATTTGAGTTGACCTTTGATGCTAGATTACTTTGTACCATACACATTGCATTTCTCAATATCTTCCCTCTTTTCCTTTTCTAGAATCCCTAAATCAAGTCATCAACATGTCTCCATTCTCCAGTATTTGAGGACATACCCATTGTTCAACAAAAGATTCTTCAACACATTCTTTAGCAAGCATCTAATTATAAATGAAGATAGGCATTGCCCTTTACTCATAAAACATATCCTCATTATACATATAGTCATGAATGTGACAGTTTGCAGGGCCAATCGAGTACATAACCAACCTTTTTCCTCAAGACTGGACCAGAATTAAGAACTAAAAAGGAATTATGGGAGACTGCCAGCTAAAAGTATGATGTCCAACCAACACAGGACAAGGCTCGATTAATTTACAAGATGCAGATCATGTTAAAAAACATTCAAGAAAAAAGAAAGAGGGATCATACATGATCAAGATCAAATTCATGCTAAACCAGTAAAATATCAAAAGATTACACAACCTTCTGTTCTCTTCAACAATGATAGAGCTTCAGATCTGCACACAGAGAAATTTCCAGCTGGTTGGAAGACCGGGTGTTTTACATAACTTGCATTAGAGATCCAAGGATACTCATACCCTCTAGGAATGCAAGGATTAACTAAATTTCTTTTATTGGATTTTGAAGCTGCAAATCAATAAACAACTAATGCCAATTATTCATTTGAGTATATCAAAATAATCATTTATTAATGGTGTTTTTCTTTAGAACTCATGTATCCCAACCCCAAGCAAAATATATATTTATATGTTGAACAATTCTAATTCTTTATGCTTATTCTATATGCACAAATAAATGCTAACAACCAGCATATCAACTGACTAGAAAGCTGAATTCATTTTCTTCTGCATAGCAAATCATGGAACTTGGTAATGAATATTATTACCAAAGGAACAAAGAAAATAATGTCAAGAAAGTCAAACAGTTTATTTCAAATACGAATGAGGCTGTTGACAAATTAAAAGGAAATATCCACTTCAGTCCTCATAATTCATATACAAGTGCAACAATTTGATCCTCCCAAAAAAGTTTTAAAAAATGTAGTCCCTCAATTATGGAAAAGTGCAAGGTGGACAATATACTATTGAAGGAATCGACTTGCTCTTTGCACAGCAAAAATACACGTTTTCCAATCTCACATATAAAGAAAAAACAAATATCTTTTCTCAAGGCAGTGCTTACTGCTCAAGACAAATGTTTATTAACAAATAAAATCAGTAACTCAATACTTACAAAGCTTCAATTCTCTATATTTCAGCCGCTCCTCTAATGATTTCCATGCCACATCCTGTACAAGAATTTTGGATTTTGGTCTTACAACAAAACATGGCATAGATACCTTCAAACATAATGATCCAAATTTGATGTAAACAAATAGTTGTAACAATAGAAAACACCAACAAAAAAAAAAAAAAAAACACTTTAAAGTATCGTTAACTCATCAGAGTTGAAGTTATTAAGGTAAATTCAAAAAACTGCATGACCATGTGTACCATAGATAATGAATATAACATGGTAGTAAGTATTCATATATTTCACAATTCAAATTAAAAGTGTGGGTGTTTAACTTGTGTATAAGAATCAAGAAAGGTTGGCATCTACAGACTGGTCGAAATCATGCCACAATATAATTTCTGTTGCCCATTGCATTGCACCATTTATATTATTATAGACCTGGTCAGGTCCAGGGTAAAACCAAATGGGGAAACTGCTTCTTTATTTCCCCATCTGCTTCATAATTTCACAAGCATGCATATACTTACTTGCCTTTTCCCAAAAGTACATATGATGGGACCCCAAAACAGCAATGAAGGCCTTTGGAATACAAGCCCTACAAGGCCCACTGTGTGGCGGGTTTACTCTCGTAGGAAGAAAGCCAATAATCAATAATTAGGAAGTCTGTTATTATTCTGTTTTATTATTATTCTGTTATTAGAATGCTGTTTTGAATTTGAATAAGTCAGTTAGGATATTCGGTTTGTTTTATTGTTCTTTATTTAAATGTTAGTTTGAGGAATGGAGAGGGAGTTTTTCAGCTAGACTTAGGAGAGGAGAATAACATTCTCTGAGAGGAGCTTTGGCTCTGGAGGATTATTGTAATCCTGATTCCTATCATAATCAATAAAATATCCTTTTCTTTTTCTTCAATTACCTGAACATAGATTCTGGTCCCTAACAATTGGTCCGACCAGCCGGATCACCTTTCCATGCACACGAGATCAGCAGAGAGGATGGCAAGAATTTAGAGCATGGAGACAGCCTTTGCTGACTATCGAGCGCTGATGAGAGAAGAGATGCGAAGCTCTTGGAGGACATACAAAGGTTATTTCAAACCAAAAGCGAAGAGGGTCCGAATCTGAATTTGCATCCTCCCAGAACTGCACCCAATGATGGGGACGATTACCGAGCTTCAATCAAGAAGGTAGAATTGCCTCAATTTGACAGGGTTGACCCTGTTGGGTGGATTTGCAGGGCTGAAACTTACTTCGATGCCCATGGTACTTCGGAAGAGATGAAAATCTGCCTCTCAAAGTTGAGCATGGGTGGTAATACTATCCATTGGTTTAATCTATGGCGTGATGAAGAAGACAATGCAACGTGGGAGCGCTTGAAGAGGTCCATGGTAACAAGGTTTGGGGTCGGGAGGCTTGACAATCCCATTGAAGAGTTGGCTGCGGTTAAGCAAACCGGTTTGGTTGAGGAATACATAGAAACCTTTGAAATCCTTGCGTCGCAGGTGTCACCCCCATTATCGGATGCTCATTTTTTTGGGCTTCTGTATGAATGTTCTCCGGCCAGAAATCTGGAGAAAGGTGCGGTTGCTGTCCCCAACCTCCCGGACAGCCGTGATACGCATTGCTCGCTGGGTGGAGGAAGATCTGGTCGCTGATGGAAGGTTAGAAGCGCCGAAAGCAAAGAATAAGGGCTATTATGCACCTACTCCCTTAGGGAATCGACCATCTAATAGGAATTGAAGTATCACGCCCTTTGTCCACGACAATCTCAAGGTTGGAGAGAATTTGCGGGCAGGAAACTCAATGACAGGGCCCTTGGGTTCCTCGGGAGATCCAAATTCAAAAGGAAATTTCATGCGCATTTCCCAAACAAACGGGGGGCGATCTCGTGGTGTAAGACACCTTCTTTTGGAGGAGTTGATGGATCGTAAAAACAAAGGGCTTTGTTTCCGCTGTGGAGAGAAATTCGGCCCTCGGCATCAATGCCCCGAAAAATTGTTGAGAGTAATCCTCTTAGATGAAGAAGAGGAGCAAGGAGAGGGTGGTGTTGTCGCGACTCTGCTAGCGGAAGAAGAGGAAAGTGAGGCCCCTAAAACGTGACTGTCATCAAAAGTCATTCCTTCATTCACTCTTGAGGACAAGAGTGGAAGTTTAGGGGGTGGTATTGATGGGACCCCAAAACAGCAATGAAGGCCTTTGGAATACAAGCCCTACAAGGCCCACTGTGTGGCGGGTTTACTCTCGTAGGAAGAAAGTCAATAATCAATAATTAGGAAGTCTGTTATTATTCTGTTTTATTATTATTCTGTTATTAGAATGCTGTTTTGAATTTGAATAAGTCAGTTAGGATATTCTGGTATTAGATTAAGTTTTGAATTTGAATAAGTCAATTAGGATATTCTGTTATCAGATTCTGTTTGTTTTATTGTTCTTTATTTAAATGTTAGTTTGAGGAATGGAGAGGGAGTTTTTCAGCTAGACTTAGGAGAAGAGAATAACATTCTCTGGGAGGAGCTTTGGCTCTGGAGGATTCTTGTAATCCTGATTCCTATCATAATCAATAAAATATCCTTTTCTTTTTCTTCAATTACCTGAACATAGATTCTGGTCCCTAACAACATAAATCATAAAACTTAATTTCATTAGCATCAGTACGGCAAGCAAAAATTATATAATTTGATAGCATCATATATACTTGTCAAAAACATAGAAATTTGACAAACGTATAAATGATTTCACAAATTGGAAGAGTTAGAGGACACCTGATCATCCACATACTTATACTTTCGCAAAAAGTAGATAAGTGATAAAATTAGAATTTCAATAGCATTAGTAAAACAACTGAAAGTTATAAAATTTAATAACATATACTAATATGCATTGTCAAAAACATTGAAATTTGAAAAACAAGTAAATGGTTTACATCAGAAAAGAGCAAGAGGGCACCTGACCCAATTGTGGCCAACTCCTAGTGTAAAGGTTGTATTTAACCCCAGATAATCTTATAGTCCGAGAAGACTGAACTAACTCTGCATTAAGTTTAGCTGATGTAACCTGAAAATATCAGCATACAGTTCAAAAACTATTCAGAAATTTTCCAGATATGTCCATAGAGAATAATTTATTTTTTGATACAGTAGGCAAGTTTTGTATTAAAGAATAAACAAGGGAAAGATGAGCTAAAGGGGAATAAGATATCTTCAAAATAGAAAAATAAAAATACATCATAGAACAAAAAAGAAATCAAGAAAGGAACTTTAGGAATGTGTGACCCTCGATTATAATTATAAAGCTTGTAACAATGGCTATAAAGCAATACAAATATGTTTTCACAAAGTAACTAAAGATTCCAACAATACCTGTAACTATGGATAAACTCTGACAGTAACTAGATACTTCCTAGCAAAACCAAGCAGTAGAATTGGGACAAGAAACAGTATGCTAGGAGTTTATTTTCTTTCTAATCGATAATGAAAAAGGGATTATCTACATCTTGAGGATTTCTTCTTGAACACTTAAAGGAATACGACAAGGATTTTTATGGACCAAACAAATATTAATATAATAATGAAATGATTCAAGATTTATATTCTGCAATTATAATCCAATCCCAACCCCTATAAAAATCATACACCCTTGACCTAGTAACCACAAATAAAAGCAAAACTCACCAAAAATGATTAAATGGTTGTTAAAGATTCTGATCCTGACCACGTGTTCCTGGGTCAGTAAAATCTTTTCCTCATGGCCCATCATTAATATTCCAGAGGAAAAAAACCTTGCTCCACACCAATGCATCACATATATGTAATTACAACAGGTACAAGACAATACCCCCACAATGATACATATGGATTGATGCAGAAATAAGAATTGATGCATATGGATTTGTTTGTATACAAATGAAATTGTCATATATTATATAGTGAATGAAAAAACCTGCAAAGAAGCCCCACCAAGTTCAACTATTCCAGTTGTTTCTTGAGGCTCGCGTCCCAAGTTTCCAAGAGCATAATTTACAGCAACCCAAGAAGAGATGCCCTGTTCCTCCCCTATATTTGGATAATAAATCTCATCATTGACATGAATAACTTCACACACTAACAAAATCAATAGTAAAAAATATAAAATCAGTGAAACTATTTTTTCACATCGCTAATGAAAGTAAATTTCATCGTTGACCTGAATTCAGAAGCGTACTGTTGAATATTGATTTACTTCAAAGATTTTACATCACTATCGAAAGTAAATTAATATGTGAAATGCCAAACAACTTCAAACAATACCAGACAAATGGAACAGACTCCAACAGCCATACCCTTCCTAGTTTACCCTCCAGCAAACTAGAAGCCCTTCTCCAACACTACAAAACCACCTTTACAAATATTTGTAACAAAGGTAGTTAAAATCCCGATTTGAATTGTAAAATCCTACAATTTTATGATTTTGGAAGCCTTACCGATTTATGTCTATGCATTACATTCTTATGGAATAGATTATGATTTTTGAGTGCTACTTTATTTAAGTGCTTTTTGATAGATTCAAACATGTATATACTAGGAGAAAGAAGACTAGTCAGAAAATAAAAGTGTAAATAACCAATTCTGTTAATAATGGACAGCTGGCTCTGTTAGTAAATAAATAAGAGCACAAAGATAGTTAGTTTTCAGTTTTTTGGGTTGGAATAGAATATGTTGGTCTGGAGAGTGAGGTCTCTTGAATTACCTAAGGTTATTGGAATTTTGTAACGATTCTTCCTATTCCTAATCTGTACCACATTGGTGTAGCATTGGGAATTAGGTTCAGCAATAAAGAACAATCTTTCATATTCAGTACAACAGAGGGTTCTATCAACTGGTATCAAAGCACCGATCCTGTGCTGAACGACGATTTTGGGGGAGATTGATGCATGGGAAGAACGAGAATGGAGGCAAGGGTCGAAGCCTTGGAGCGCACACTGCAGAACTGGAATCAGGAATCATGATCGTGATTTACAAGAAAACGTGCAAGATGAAAGATTTCAGAAGTTGGAGGATATGATTTCAAATCTCACAGAAATCGTAGGGGAATTGTAGCAGAAGAATGGAGGAATCAAGGTCATGGGAAAGATCGCAGTCAAGAAAGAGATAGCAGTCATGGAAGAGATCGAACAGCGAGAGATTCTGATTCCGATTCAGAACAAGAATGACCAAAAAATATGCAATGGCGAAAACTTGAAATTCCTATTTTTACAGGTGATGAGGCATATGGGTGAACGAATCGTTTAGAGAGGTATTTTCGGTTGAAGGGAGTTCAAGAAGATCCAGGCAGTTATGGTAGCAATGGAAGGAAAGGCACTGAATTGGTTTCAATGGTGGGAATCTTGCAATCCCAATCCTACTTGGGATTCATTCAAAACAGTGGTAGTAAGGCGATTTCAACCAACTATGATGAAGAACCCTTTCGAGATTTTGCTTGCGCTGAAACAAACAGATTTAGTGGAAGAGTTTGTCGAACAATTTGAGAAATATGCAGGTTTCTTGAAGGGAATTAATCAAGACTATTTGGTGGGAATTTTCTTGAATGGTCTTAAAGAGGAGATCAAAACAGAGGTAAAATTGCACAAACCTGACAATTTGGCAGAACTCATGATGAAAGCCCAAATGGTGGAGGAAAAAATCAAGTTACAATGAAAGCGGCAACACAGCAAGTGAACAAGACAGGAAATTCATTCAGGTCATACACTGGGACACAAAGTTATACCAGAGAAATAGGGATGCAATCATCAAATTTCAGTAACAATAGAGGGAAGGGGGAGAGTTCTGACATGACAAGCAGCGCTGGCAGTAATAATCATGGAGGGAACAGAAACAGAGGTGCAGCTTTTAAGAAATTGACAGATGAGGAAATGCAAGATAAGATTAAAAAGGGATTATGCTTTCAATGTCACGAAAAATTTGGTCCGAACCATGTATGCAAAAATAAACAATTACACATGTTGCTGATAGAGGATGAGGAATCAGGGGGGACAGAGACAGTGCCGGGGGTAGAATGGGAAGAAGAGGAAGAAAAAGGGGCCGAGAAAACACTGCAGATGTCTATGTTAACGATGGCTGGGTTGACATCTAGAAATTCTTGGAAGGTATGGGGAAGGATAGGAGAGGAGAAGGTGATAATCTTGATAGATTGTGGAGCTTCCCACAACTTCATATCCCCTGAGTTAATGAAAAGATGCAATCTAGTCAAAGAAGAAACTCTTCCCTACATGGTGGAGGTAGGAGATGGACACAAGGTGAAAAGTCAAGGGGTGTGTAAAGGGTTTATACTAGAGTTGCAAGAATTAAAAATTAATCAAGATTTTTTCCTGTTTGAGCTAGGGGGAGCAGATTTAGTTTTGGGGCTGGAATGATTGGCTGGTCTAGGAGAAGTTAGAGCTAATTTTGGCAAGTTAACTCTGACTATTGGGAAGGGACAGCAACAACAAATTCTAGTAGGAGATCCAACCTTGTGCAGAACCAAAACCTCAATGAAGATGATGATGCAAAAATTAAAAGGAAGAGAAGGGTATTTGGTGAAATTAGTAGAAACTGAACCTTCAGCAGAAACAGTGGCAATCCCTACATTCATTGAGGAAGTGTTGCAGCACTACAACGAGTTATTTCCGGATCTAGAGGGCTTACCTCCTGCAGAAACCATGATCATGCAATATATTTGAAGGAAGGAGCATCTATACCGATTATTAGGCCATACCAATACCCTCACTATCAGAAAAATGAGATAGAGAAGCTGGTGCAAGAGATATTGAAAGCAGGGATTATAAGGCCTAGCATTAGCCCATATTCTAGTCCTATTATTCTGGTGAAAAAAAAAAAAGATGGAGGATGGAGATTTTGTGTAGATTATAGGGCTCTGAATAAGGTCACAGTCCCCAATAAATTTCCAATCCCTGTTATAGAAGAATTATTAGATGAATTGGGAGAAGCTACATTATTTTCTAAGCTGGACTTGAAATCTGGTTATCATCAGATTCTAATGAAAAAACATGTGGAAAAGACTGCTTTTCAAACACATGAAGGCCACTACGAATTCTTGGTAATGCCGTTCGGTTTCGAATGCACCATCCACTTTTCAAGCTCTCATGAATGAGGTATTTCAACCCTTCCTTCGAAAGTGTGTGTTGGTTTTTTTCAATGATATATTAGTATACAGCCCCACTGTTGAGCTGCACTTGTCCCATTTGAAAGAGGTATTGTGGGTGTTACAAGAACATAAATTAAAGGTGAACAAGAAGAAATGTACAATTGGGCAGCCAAGTTCAGAATATTTAGGTCATATTATTTCAGAGAAAGGTGTCTCGGCAGATCTAAAAAAAGTGGAAGCAATGTGGCTTTGGCCAAGTTTAGAATATTTAGGTCATATTATTTCAGAGAAAGGTGTCTCGGCAGATCTAAAAAAAGTGGAAGCAATGTGGCTTTGGCCCATTCCTAAAGATCTCAATGGGTTACGGGGATTTTTGGGTTTAACGGGTTATTACCCAAGATTTGTGCGTGGTTATGGAAAAATCGCTCAACCTTTGACTCAGCTATTGAAGAAGGATGGCTTCAAGTGGAGTAGAGAAGCACAAATGGCTTTTGAGGAGTTAAAAACAGCAGTAACCCAGCTACCTATTCTAGCGGTCCTTGATTTTGGGAAACCTTTTGTTGTGGAGACCGATGCTTCAAGTGAAGGTTTAGGAGCTGTCTTGTTATAAGAAGGTAAACCTTTAGCCTTTTGGAGTCAAGCACTATCTAAGAGAGGGCAGAATAAGTCAGTTTATGAAAGGGAATTGATGGCAGTGGTGCAAGCCGTGCAGAAGTGGAGGCACTACTTATTGGGCAGTCGTTTTACCATTGTTACTGACCAAAAAAGTCTCAAATTCCTTACTGAACAAAGATTACTGACAGAGGAACAGTTAAAATGGGTTTCTAAATTAATTGGATATGACTTTGAGATTAAATATAGGCCTGGGAAAGAAAACTCTGCTGCAGATGCACTTTCCAGGAAACCCATGTTTTCAACAATGACAGTATTGCAATTAGATGAATGGGAGAATTGGGATAAAGAAGTTCAGAAAGATGCTCACTTACAAGCAATAATGCAGAAGTTGTTAGTTGATCCCAATACAAATGTTAGGTACACCATGAGAGGCGGCAAATTGTACTACAAGGGAAAACTGGTTCTGCCTAAACAGTTTTCAAGGATTCCAGCTATCATGAATAAACTCCACAGTTCACCAACTAGGGAACATTCAGGTTATTTCAGAACCTTCAAAAGGGTGGCTGGAGTGTTATATTGGGAGGGAATGCGGAAAGATATCAAAGAATTTGTGATGCAGTGTGAGATTTGTCAAAGAAATAAGCATGAGACCCTCTCCCCTGCAGGATTATTGCAGCCACTGCCTATCCCGATGCAGGTTTGGTTGGACATTTCCATGGATTTTATCTGTGGCTTACCCAATGCTCAAGTTAAAGATACCATCACGGTGGTAGTGGATAGGCTTAATAAATATGCCCATTTTATGGCACTCAGTCATCCATTCACAGCAGTGGAGGTAGCTCATACTTTTGTGAAAGAAGTGGTAAAGTTACACAGGTTTCCTTCCACCATTGTATCTGACAGGGATCAAATCTTTTTGAGTGCTTTTTGGAAGGAATTATTCAAACAAGCTGGCACTAAATTGAACTTTAGCATTGCTTACCATCCTCAATCTAATGGTCAAACAAAGGTAGTGAACCGCTGTTTAGAAACATATTTACGTTGCATGACAGGGTCTAAACCCAAACATTGGCCAAAGTGGTTGAGCTGGGCAGAATTTTGGTTCAACACTAATTACAGTGCTTCCACCAAAATGACTCCATTCAAAGCCTTGTATGACGAAGACCCTCCACTTTTGTTAAAGGGGACTACTATTCCATCTAAGATTGAGCAGGTCAACCAGTTACAAGAGCAAAGAGATGAGATTTTGAAGGAATTGCGGAATAACTTGTGTAAAGCTCAAGATCAAAACAGATTACAGGCAAATAAACATAGATGTCATGTTGTTTATCAAGTGGGTGATTGGGTATTCTTGAAATTACAACCCTATAGACAGAGATCTTTAGCTAAACGGCCTAATGCTAAGTTGAATCCCAGATTTTATGGGCCTTATCAGATTATGGAGAAAGGTAGCTTACAGACTGCAGATCCCGGAAAACAGTCATATACACCTGGTTTTTCATGTATCACTCCTTAAAAAGGTCATTCATCCAACTACAACAGCACAGCCTCTACCCCCTATGTTGTCTGCAGAGTATGAACTGGAAGTAAGTCCTGACAAGCTATTGGAGACCCGCCAGACTGTGGCAGGTGAAACAGAAGTCCTTATCAAGTGGAAGCAGCTGTCAGATCATGAGAATAGCTGGGAATCAGCTAGCACCATTCAAGACGCTTTTCCTAACTTTCACCTTGAGGACAAGGTGGCTCTTTTGGGGGGGGGGGGGGGGGGGGGGGGGGTATTGATAGATTCAAACATGTATATACTAGGAGAAAGAAGACTAGTCAGAAAATAAAAGTGTCAATAACCAATTCTATTAATAATAGACAGCTGGCTCTGTTAGTAAATAAATAAGAGCACAAAGATAGTTAGTTTTCAGTTTTCTGGGTTGGAATAGAATTGGTGTAGCATTGGGAATTAGGTTCAGCAATAAAGAACAGTCTTTCATATTCAGTACAATAGAGGGTTCTATTACTTTTACTGATTTAAAGGTCCCCCCCCCCCCCAATTTATGCTATTTTATATGCATATATATGAATTTTGTAAAATCTTATGATTCAATCTACGATTTTCACTCATCTGTACGATTTAAAGTAAAATCCCAATTTTAAATACCTTGTTTGCAACACCCAAAGCACACAGTAAAGACAACAGCATGAACTGCAAAGAATTGCAACTTTCAATGATCAACAGTCTCTCACCGCAACCCTAATACATAAACCACTAACTAACCACAGCCAAATTCAAATTTTACCAAGCAGCAAGGTCTACTACATTTCAGGAAAAGTCCTAATTCCAATGAATCTAAAAAAACAACAACCTCAATTGTGACGGGCTTTTGAAATGCAAAAGTTAATCCCACAGCTACATTATGAGCAAACCAGCTTCAAAAACCATTATTCATCTCCTAATCTGTAAACAAAATAGTTTAATCTACAATTTCATCCTTGAAAGTGGCAACTTGTGCTGCTCTAATCCCAAAAGTTTGCATCTATATAAATTAATCCCTTGAGGGAGGAAATTATTTACAAATTAACAACTTGATAGGATAAACTAGTTAGCAAATTGACGCTTCGGAAACCAATTTGTCTATAAGTGCACTTTCAGAAAGTAAATAATATATTTACTAAATTATTTACTTTCTGAAACAGCTATCTAATAAGACCATGACTTCATTTTAAGACAGGAACAGAATCCACCAATTATAGCATAAAAATTCCTGCAAACATAAACATTCCAAAATCTGAGTTAATATAACTTGGTCTCAAAAAGTGAAAAATCGTGTTCACTGACATCTACACAGACTAGTCCACTGAGGAAAGAAATTGTTTACAAATTAAGAAAGTAGTAGGGTAAACTTCCTATGAAGTTGACACTTTCCAAGATCAATTAGTATACACATGTAGCCATGGCTCTAAATTGCTGTCTCAGCCACTATTATAGCCATATTTTGCAGTTTTTAAGATCCCTGTTCATTTCAACTGCAATTGTTGCCAAATTTGCCCGCAAATATTCCCCAACGTGTTGCTTAATTTGCAACCATGAGCAAAACCGCAATTTAAAACAATGATCATGTACTATACCAAAACAATACAAGTCACCACTTTCAGGAACTAAACTACGCATTATCTCAAAAAGATTGAAGAGTACAAAACAAGTATCTATAAAACTATAATCATATTTTGGCACACTTCCGTAGAGGCATCACATCAACATTCACAACCTCACCAAATCCAAAAACATTTAAAAAAAAAAAAAACCATTTTCACTTAATTTTAAAGAAACAATCACTTCCATATAAAAAGGAAAAAACACTACCAAAAAACTAAATAAACATTCTTTAAAATAAGCTGAACCAAACACACATCAACTAACCCGAAACAACGCGTGCCCATTCATCCTTAAACAAGAACCCAGACTCCCTCAAAACCTGTCTGCAACATTCCAGAACCTTCTCCACAGCCTCAGCGCCAAGCCCCTCCAACTCCTCAGTGGCCACAACCTGCACCTTAGTGCTCCCCCACTCCCTCTTCGGCACCCTCCCCTGGGCGAACTCCACGAGTTCCGCCGCCGCGCCGCGAACCCCGGCCGGACCAGCTGCAAAGCCTGGCCGGGCCGAGGCGGAATGTGCGCCGGCGAGGAGAGTGGGGCCGAGGAAGTGGAAGAGGGAGAGGCGGAGAGCGGAGGGGCCGGCGCGGAGGACGAGGGCGGAGAAGGCGGGGTGGGAATCGGAGAATTTGGGAGAAGAGTGGATTTGGAGGGCGGTGGAGAAGAGGTAGAAGAGAAAAGGTGCTGTGAAGAAGAGAAAGGCGAAGAGGAAGAGAAGGCATTTGGTGGTGTGGGGTTTTTGATTGGAAGATGAAGAAGAAAGTGAAGATGAGTAGACAGAGATCATGCGAGGGTGCAGCTGGGTACGGTGGGGTGGAATGTAGGAAGAAGAAGAAGAAGAAGGTCTTGGTTGAAGGTTGTTTGGGAAATCCATGGCTGGCGCTTAGATTTGAATCTCGATTGATTCAAAAACATGCAAATGGGTTGAAAGAACTGAGGGAGAAATTAAGAGCCTTTTTGTGTAATGCTTCAAACTGAGTTATACAAATTTGAAATTTTTCAGCTTCTCACATAAATTGCATCGGAAATTCCTACACAAACAGCCTCTGAGGTGAGCTCGAAAAATCACAAGCGCTGGTCGATAATAACTGAACAACACAATTTTTTTTTAACGTTATTTTTTAATTAAAAATATAAATTTATTTTAATAACTTATAATAACAGTAAATAGAATACATATTGTATATTTTTTATTAGGTTATTCTAATCATTACCTTCAGAACATTTATTAAAGAATTACTGGCAAAAAATTTATTCAAAAAATTACGTTAGAATGTATTAAAAATTATAAGAAAGACATATTTATTATATTTTTTATAAAAATATTTTTAATACTTTAATCATTTTTTTATTTTTTTATTAACTTTAATCGATGATATTAGTTACCATTTACCTTTATATTAATATAAAATTTTAATTAAAAATATTTAAGTTTTACCCAAATTTTATTTCCTTTAATTAATATATTGGATACAATTTTTGACTAATTTATTAAATATCGTGGGTCATAATTAGTTGGTTGAAATATATGTCTGATTTTTTTAAGAACAAAAATAAATATGATTATTAAAGCTATTGAATAATTCTTTAAAATTTTAAGTGTGAAATATTTTAATTTTTATGTTAATTAATATTTTGAAGATTAATTTGGGTTATTAATTATTTTTTTTAAAATTAAATCGATACATATTTATCCTTCTAAAAATTGATCATGTACGGAAAAATAAAGAAAATGACTATTGAACACACTTATGCTTATAAGAGATTATTTAGCAATTTTGTTTACAAAATAAGTTAGATTGAGTAATTTTTAATGCTCTTTTATTTTCTATTGTTAATTTTAAAAAAATTATTAAAATATAAAATATTTCAAAACAATTTTTTATTTTAAATTTTCTTGTTATATGTCATTATTTATGAAATTTTATTTTCTTATTTTTAAATAAATTTTATAAAAATTTGATCCATGTCAAGATTTTCTGTCACAATCCGAATAGTGCTGGACTTTATGCTGGTGGTGGCTCTTGTACGGAAGTTTGATTTCTCAGCTTTCCATCTTTCAATCGTTGCCTTTCTAAATTACGGGACAATTATGAACATTTCCAAGGACATAGCAATTTCACCAGAAAGATAGCGAGATTTTATTTTAATAAATTAATATTATAAAATTTTAACACTATTAAAAGAATTTTTTACCATAATAAAATAAAATAAAAATTATATAAATATCCTATAATGAAAAGAATTACATAAATGTCCTATTTAGTATTTAAAAGAGGATGATTTAAATTGATTTCTTTTAAAAATAGAAAACAATTTGAATTGATTTCAATTATACACTACATAGTAATTGTTTCTAGAGAAGTTAATTTTAATTGATTGTAGTTGCTTTTTTATTGCTGTGTGGAAGTTGATTCAGTGGAGAAAGGAAGTCGATTTCAATATAGAGAGGCAGTCAACTTTAAGAGAGAGAGAGAGGGATTCAACTTCAATCAATTTGCCCTACTACCCTATAAGGAAGAAACATCCTTGAGAAGAATATGCAGAAAGAAAGAAAGAGAAAGAAAATATAGTGCAACTATAATGGAAATGAATAATAATTTAAATTGACTATATTTTGTTGATCATATTGCAAGTAAGCTATTGTGTAAATGTTTAAAAATTTATTTAATTTTCTTTGAATTTTTTAATTTAATCTATCATTAAATATTTAGTTATCTAATTAAAATAACTTGTTACATATATTGTATAAACATCTGTTACATATTTAATTAATTATGGGTTATAAAATTGTTAGTGTATTTTATATTAAGATTTTTACTATTTATTACAATAAATTAAACAATTATAATTTTAGGCAAGTAAACATTTAGACTATAACTTGGTAAATTAGAATAAATTTAAATTTAGTGAGTATTAATTATATTTCAAAAGTTTTAATTGTTCATTCGTGTTATAGTAATTTGTTTATTTATTTTAATGGACTTTATACATTTATATAATTAAATTCATCATTTATGTCAAATGTTGATGTTATGGCTTGACTACATTTAACCACCAAATCACATTGCCTAAATATCAAGTTGAACTTTTCCTTCTACCAAAGTTAATTCAAGTCGACTACCCCTCTACACTGGAGTCGATTTAAGTCCACTTCCCCTCTATATAACATCATTCTTTTATTCAAAATAATAATAGTATAATTTTGGAATTTATATGAAAATTTAGTTAAATTTATTACCGATCAAATGAAACACATGAAATCATTATATATTATGTTTATCTTGCTTAAATGCATGAGAACTTTAAATAACAAAATAATAATAATTAAACAATTTTAAGAGAAAATATTAAAATAATATGAACATACATTGTGCTCATAATTTACAAGATGTTAACATTTACAAAATATTCATTAAAATACATTAGTACTCTTTTTTAACATTTACAAAATACAAAATATAATAAGTCCTGATAGGCAGTCTATCTATCATGCAACCAAAGAGACACTAGCCATCCCCGTGCCATCCCTCTATCATCGCGATATCATCAAAGTTGAGCTCATCATTCGATCTGAGATACAGATCACCAGGGTCCGCAGTAACCTGGGCACCAGTAATTCGCTTAAATGTCCAATGAGATGGTCTCCCAAGATGATTGTGGTCATGGTATATGAACAAGTAGGTCAAAGTTACTGGGATCCTCTCAGTACCAGGAAAGATATATATACAAAGGGTATAATGGACTCTACTTGAGGGAAAATCAAAAGGGACACTAAAAGCTAATTCTATTTCCATCATAATAGTATCACTAGGTACATTATTTACGTCTATAGCAATCCTAAAGAAACAAACTCTTTGATACTCATTAAATACATAATTCAGTCTATTAGTTACAGAGCTATCTACTAATCTAATTCTCTCGGTGGGTGTTGTCATCTGGGTTCCCTGAAATATTTACATAAGGATGAGTCTCTATTCATATTACCAAGCATACATTCACAATTATTCACACAGTAAAACAAAGATAATACATCGATGATGTTACAAAGTCATACTCATATCCATGCAAAAAATTTTAAGTATTCAACTTATTAATCTTCATTTCTTTCTTAATACTTAGGATTCTCATTTCACTTTCATTGCTCCTGTGATCCCTCGAGATCTTCCTTAGCATAGATAGTCGCTGGATAGCCACAGCTACACTGATACAATGTGTGCTGACCCGGCCCCTTTTAGCAAAAGCATGGTCAGGAGTATTAGTCAAAAAACGAGTGTGAAGCCTATGGTACTCCTACTTTTATTTGTTTTACGCAATTCAAGAGGAGCATCCACCACCCTCATTTCCCTAAGACTTCTCAGTCGTCTCCATTTTCCACACTCTCAGTGTGCCTATGAACTATCCATACTCATCCTTATCATATTTCATTCTCATTTCTATATTTTTCACTATCTATTTATTAACATATTATTCATTGCCAAGAATTAGTCCTTTTTGTCCACTATGTACATGCATATACAGTCAAAATAAAAATCATACGTATCATCAAACATCACAAAACAAGCTTTAATCATAACAAAAACATGTTCTTATTCAACATATACTTAAAATCATACACTTCACGACAAAATCTTCATGAATACAAGCATACTACTTTTTAGTAACAAAATAGAGCTTTCATTACCTTAAAATAAAAGTTTAGTAAAGGGTTTTCGAAGGATCTTGCTTAAAAGGCTGAGTTCTTCCTAAATATCACAAGAGTTTCTATTTAGAGTAGGAAGAATAAAAAAAATAACCAAAGAAATAGAGAACAAAGCTCCAAAAACTTACCAAAGAATAAGGAAAGTGATCTTCTAAACTTTGATCAGAGAAAAGTTAGGGTTTTTCTAAAGATTTGCTGAGAAAATGAGAAGAGAAGTCAGAGAGAACGTATGAGGATCGTAACTTGGATTATAATTCAAGTTTCTTAACTTGAAAACTTCTAAATAGTCCTCAACTCGCGACATTCTCGTTACAGCGAAATCTCCTCTCGCTACAGCAAAAAAACAGATAAAATTGCACTTTGTTATCTGTCATTCTAACTATAACGAGAGCTCCTCGCTACAGCGAGAGTATCAGAATGTCTGATTTTGGACACTGATTCTTGCTACAGCAAGACACATCTCATTACAGCGAAAAATCTTGCAATTTAAACATCTAAAACTCTTCTAATCTTAAGCAACATGCATTAACATCTCATACCAAATACAAAACCAATAAATAATAAAAACAAGGGTGTTACACTCTACACTGAAGTCAATTCAAGTCAATTGTCTCACATAGTAAAAAAATGTAGCCAAAGTCAATTAGAATCGACTTTTGTAAAAGCAAATACGGCGCAGTGCACAAAAAACTGAAATTGATTTCAAATCCTTTTGTGTTTTCAAAAAAATCAATTTAAATCGTATTCTTTTTAATGCTAAACAGAACATTTGTATAATTCTTTTCATTATAGAACATTTATGTAATTTTAAATTTATTTTATTTTATTATAGTAAAAAAGCCTATTAAAATTTTATTAATTTTATATTTTTAATGGTAATTCATTTTTAAAAATAAAAAATTTTAGAATTTGATCAACAATAATAACAAGATTTATGACACATGATAAAAATAAATAAATAAAAACTATTTTAAAATATTTATATTTTAGTAATTTATTTATAATTAACAATAAAAAATAAGAAATTTAAATTTTAAGTAATGAAATTAAGTACTAATTCATGAAACAATTAATCTAAATTTAAACTTTGTATATATAGAAAGAAGTCTAAGAATTAATTTAATTACGTTATCAATATAATTTATTAGTTTATTTAAATAAATTATCATAAAAAATACATATAGTGCTAAAACAATGATTAGGCTATTTTTAAAAAATATATATTTATTATGTATATTATAGTACTAATTTTACAATTAAAAAGAACGAGCTCATTTACAAATAACTAGTAAAAATGTATATACATTTGCTCATGTTTCTTTTATTTATTTTATTAAATTATTTTTTTTAA